GGGCTAACATTATATTTGATGCTAAGTGCATTATTCTCATTAAAAAATGAAACTCGGGGTGTTTTTGTTTTGTGTCCAGCTTGCACTAGAGGTTAACATTTTAACTTCGATCATACCAGAGCAGTGACAGCTAAAACAGGTACTCAACATTGTTTGGGGAATAGTGACTTCTTTTATTTCGGTCAAATAAAATGACATCCATGGATCCAACTATCAAATAGGCATGTTCGATAACTATGTAAACAACTTTCAAGTGTTAATATTTTATCGGTTGTGGTTCCTGAATCAGACAACTTGGATCCATTGCTACAAGTATCTCCCCGAATGAGTAAGGATATTACAATACAAAAGATGGATGAGATATATCGTATTTAATGGAAATCTTAATAACTGGGATTTAATAAATAAGATATTAAATCCGACAATTTTTGTTTTCATAATAACGGTGGATAGTTTCTAAGAAAATACACGAAAATAATACTGGGTGGTATTAGTTCTTAAAAATCAATATAACAATCTGTCTACACATCTCACTTTAAAAATGATACTCTCAAATATGAACACCATCAATTTAATTGTTTATTATATTTGAATAAATAACAGATGTATATAAATATGACAGTAAAAGGAAGGTTTCCATGAAACCAATGAAACAAAGAGAGGTTCCCTAGGAAAAGAAAGGCATTTTATCATGTTGTTGATAGATAATATCTATGCTTAGAATTACCGATAATCTATCGTTTTAGGTACGTCAAATCGGCCGAGGCTAGTAATGAATGGCTTCCCCTGAATCTCCCGCTGGTAAGTAGGTTACCAACCAGTTCCAAGGCTCAATAAAACCTGTAAGAGCCGTAGAACTGATTGGTGACCTACTTACCAGCCCTATAAGTTTACAAAAAAAAAAAAAAAAAAAAAAACTTAAACAAGATGGCTGCTGAAGTAAACGAGCTTTGTTGCATCTGATGAAAACATCACTAGTCTTTATTTATTACTGTAAAGTTTAATACAATTGTTTAAAAACAGGTACATGAATGAAACTTTGAAACATTTTTGTATTTTTCAAAACATAAATCTTCCTTAAAATGTGAAATAATTACTAAAATTTAATGAGGCACATTCTTTTTACATTACTAGCCTCTGCCGATTTTACGTGCCCAAAGCGATAGATTACATTATGTATTCCTTACGAGATAAAAGTAACTCAACAAATCTTTTAGCAGTCATATTTGATTACTACCAGAGGAGTTAGTAAAAGTCGAAAGAATCAGAACATTACCGTAGTGGTTTTAAAACGATGCATTTGTAACTAGAGAGTTCATGTTTTAAAAAAAAAGGTTTCAACAATAATATAATCCCATAGGCGTAATCCATAAATGACGTCACGCTTTTTTTGACGATTTTTACCCCCCCCCCCCCTTCCCTCCGTCACACGTCGTCACAAAAAGCCAGACCCCCCCTAAAATGACGTCACACCTCAACCTACAGCCCCCCCCCCCCCCTCAAAATTGCAGTTGAATTTTTTTTAAACATCGATATTTTTCTAAAATCTTGTCTAAACTATTATAATTTATTAAAACAGTTATCTAAAACGCGAAATAACGTCTAAAATTCGTTTTCTAACATTGCTTTTTTATAATGCAAAAGTGTGACGTCGCAACATCTGACCCCCCACCCCCTTCATCACACGTCACAAAATTACGGACCCTCCCTCCCCCCTACGAGTGTGACATCATTTATGGATGACCCCATACTTCTAAAAGATATTTTGTAACATGTAATGATATATCCCTTACATCAAACAATATATATATATATATATATATATATATATATATATATATATATATATATATATATATATATATATATATATATATATATATATAATTTATCTCATTGAACACAACTTACTTTACTATCGATCTAGTATTCTAATGCTGATTATTTTAATAAGGCTAATATTAGAAACGATAACGGTGTCACATAGCCAGGTAAAATCATAGGTCAAAATGTCACCATAACACGTGTATCAATGTTCAATGTTTATCAATGTGTGTGTGTGTGTGTGTGTGTGTGTGTGTCACCAAACAGCCACGCCCTTGTGTGTACACGCCCAGCTGAAGACTAGACTGTATCAGATTCAGACAGATCAAAACAACACAGACTTTTAAGATCAGCTCAGACTAGACTGTATCAGATCAAGACAACACAGACTTTTAACATCAGCTTAGACTAGACTGTATCAGATTCAGACAGATCAAAACAACATAGACTTTTAAGATCAGCTCAGATTATACTGTGTCAGATCAAAACAACACAGACTTTTAAGATAACGACTGCTCACGAAAGTGCTGGTGACATTTGTACCTGATTTAGCTCTAAAAGTCCGTTAACTTATTAATCATTTCCAACTCTCTTTTTAAGAACAATAAGTATTTCAATGAAAAGACTGTTTTAATTATTTAATTAAAGAATATAACATAAAAACAGGGGTATTAATTATTAGCCTCTGCTGGACACGATAGTAAACCCAACTTTTGTTTTGAATAATTAATGTTTGGAAATAAAATTGCAGGTTATTTAAATACCTGAAGCTACTCTGTTTTCTTTTTCAAATTAGTATGTTAAAATCTTTGTTTGATGAACGTAAAATACGGTCATTGACACTTTTGTATTGTTCGGTATTATTTCCAAAAACATCAGACCTGCTATGGATTCGGACTGCAGGACAGATAGAGATAAATCAGGGCGTCGCTGGCTTTATTGGTACTGTAGCCCCCCCCCCCCTCCCCCCTTTACCCGGCTCGTACATGAACTTTAAAGTCATAAATAATACGGAGGGGGGGGGGGGGGAGTCAAGTTTATAATTAGCTCACTTGCTTTAAGTATCAACGAAACAAAAATGACATACAATCGTTATGTTTTTTTTTCCCTTGATATTGGTAACGCTCTTATCGCCCCCCCCCCCCGCCCCCTCCCCCCAATACACAGAGTGTGGTTTATTAAAACACCCCAGGGCGCCGTTAAAACACGGTAATTTAATCGCGAATACCAGCAGTAGACCCGATCACAATATCGATTTCTGTAGATTTGTATTGAATGTTTACAAGTCACGGTACGAGTGTGTGGACCGTGAATGGTTCAATGCGCCCGCAGGAAAGTGTTTTGTAGCCCGAGCATTCACTTTCCAGTTCATGTACTAGTAAATACGACCGGTCATGGACGGGTCGGTTTAAAAAGAATTTTTAAAAATTTAAAAATTATATTTTTAATAATTTTATAAAACTTCCGGAAAACTATTTATTTCATATTCTGGACACACAGAAGCTAGTTTTTCTAAAGAAAAAAAAAAACGTTTTCTATACTTCAACGTTCAGTTTGTTGTAGCCAACACATTGTGAATACCATAGCTATGACTGAGACGTGTTCTACGGATGGGATCTAGTCACAGCAACTGAAGGTGTAAAGATTAAAGGTGGGTAAATGTTCAATTCTAATTGCTTTCTCGAGTTTGGACAGTACGTTTGGTAGAGGAAGTAGATTTCATCTGTTTACTGCTGCGCGGAATGTTTTTGCTCTGTTTTATTGGACAAATTTCAAAATCGATTTGTGTAGTTAAGGCAATTGTCATGGTAATAGAATATCCAGTCCAGTCTTGACAACAAGGATTTTATCCTACACGATGTTTGTTATTTATCTAAACTTAAACTTAGTCACTAATTGTGAACAAATATAAAACCCAATTGTACTTCAGTCATATATATATATATATATATATATATATATATATATATATATATATATATATATATATATATATATAATGTAGTTCCGAGTACAATCTAATTTCTTATTTTGCAAAAAAAATTAATAAATTAGTACTGTTTAGAACATACACAAAAAAAAATCAGATTTCTTTGGGTTCATCCCCACACCCACCCCCCCCCCCCTCCCCGCACAAGAGCCAAAATGACTTAGATATTTTGATACTCTATCAATAAGATCAGCTCCTCTATTTGTATTCGATAGTATCAATCACTATGATTTATTGCCATTGATCCAGCTTAACTCTGTGTTAGATAAGAGCTTCAGTGAATGTATTGTTTCACTATCCAGTTGTTATTAACAATACTCCGTATGTAAAATATGGTATAAATTTTTTAGTACTACCATTCTATGATTATAATGACCAATATAGCAACAGCATAAATGTAACAAAAGAAAAACAACAACAACAACAAAAACAAAAACATAACAACAGAACAATGAATATTTAATGTTAAAATTTATCGATAAAAAGATGTGTTTTTCATAAAAAATACACACGATACGCTATTAATAAAAAAAATGATATAAGCAATTTCAAATGGGCTTACAGTTAAAAATGCGCTTACACTTTAAACAAGTGCTCACAGTTTAAACATGTGTTTGCAGTTTAGACAAGTGTTTATAATTAAAAGCATGAGCTCACTGTAAAATATATGCTCACAGTTAAAACATGTGCTTACAGTTCAAACTTTCGTGCATGATGTTCCTACATGTCTGTCAAGAAATAACCACCAACAGAAGACACCACAGACAGACTTGAATCCATGGATAGCCCAGAGTCTCAGCCGGACTCGCCAGTCACAGGTCAGACAGACAACGACGATAGATCCGACACGGAACACGATAGACCAACACACAGATCCGACTCGGAACGCGATAGACCAACACACAGATCTGACACGGAACACGACAGACAAACACACAGATCTGATAAAGGTGAAGACGATAGATTCGATGCTGGGGACGATAGATACAGATCAGGTGGAGATGATCAGGAGAGATCTAATGCTCGTGGACCATCGGAACTCGGATCAGAGAAAACGAAACCGGAAACAAACTCGGCCAAAATTCGCCAAATTCTGAAACGGACCGACAGTTTTGATGACGCCATCACGTATCCGGCGTCCAAGAGGCAGACGGAGTCTCCGGTCATCGTCACGACAAAACCGGAAATGGTCACCCCTGATGAGCTGTTTGGCCCCGCCTCCCCACATTGGAGTGACAGGTGGGTTCATGTCTGTCTGTCATGACTGACCCTCCCTCGGTTATATCTGTACATTTATTCTACAGAGGAACATCCACACTGTTTTCATTCGTGTATTTCATTTAATGTTCGTCTTGTCGAATTTTGTGGGTTTTTTCATGGTTGGATATTTTACAATGGTCTTTTTTTATATTAGTGACAACGAGTATCGTTATCAATAGGTAAAAAATATCGAAGCATTAAGCATGGATACGACAAAAAAAAATTACAAAAAAAAATAACATAAAACCACATCATTAACACAGTACTAACTCGCTCTCTAACCCCATTTGTATGTAATTTAAGTTCTCGAAAAGCCCATCGAGCTCAGTTTAACATCATCGTAACCCTAGTTTTAACCGTTACTGTACTCATATTTAACGTAACTGTGCTTTAAACTCCCCATGAACCTACTGACCTAATAAGACACTTTATCTTACTTCTGGTCGAGTTATAAAGCACACGATTACTGCCCCAATGTCACGAGTTCGACAGGTATTAGCATGGGGGCGTACTTGAGTCAACCCAGCCATAATTGGTACCTGAGTCGGGGGGGAGGGGATAAATGCTGCTGGGCACAGTTCTGACCATACTAACCCATTAGATGCCGAGGTCATAGAAACAGATCTCTACCTCCTCTGCCCAATGGACTGTCTCTTCTGAAAGCGTATTTTAAAAAAAGAATCTAGTGTAAAACCTAGTGTAACCCAACCTTCCTAGGAAACCTCTAAACAACCTACCTAATTAATGTAACCCAACCTTCCTAGGAAACCTCTAAACAACCTACCTAATTAATGTAGCCCAACCTTCCTAGGAAACCTCTAAACAACCTACCTAATTAATGTAACCCAACCTTCCTAAGAAACCTCTAAACAACCTACCTAATTAATGTAACCCAACCTTCCTAGGAAACCTCTAAACAACCTACCTAATTAATGTAACCCAACCTTCCAAGGAAACCTCTAAACAACCTACCTAATTAATGTAACCCAACCTTCCCAAGAAACCTCTAAACAACCTACCTAATTAATGTAACCCAACCTTCCTAAGAAACCTCTAAACAACCTACCTAATTAATGTAACCCAACCTTCCTAGGAAACCTCTAAACAACCTACCTAATTAATGTAACCCAACCTTCCTAGGAAACCTCTAAACAACCTACCTAATTAATGTAACCCAACCTTCCTAAGAAACCTCTAAACAACCTACCTAATTAATGTAACCCAACCTTCATATGAAACCTCTAAACAACCTACCTAATTAATGTAACCCAACCTTCCTAGGAAACCTCTAAACAACCTACCTAATTAATAAACCTGCCATTATGTTACAGCAAGATGGCAGACAGACGCCGGAGTGGCGAACAGGGCCGGCGACCCAAGACAAGGGCCCAAAACTCTCGCCTACACGCTAGTCGTAGGAGCTCCAACGATGTGGAGACAAACACGTTTCCAGATGCGTCTGACGGTTATTCTAGTCCGGAGAGAAAAAGTAAATATAATGTTTTTGCAGCAATATAGACTTGTTGTTAATGAAAGCTTTCTATCAGCCTTCATTTACAACTAGTCTATATTGCTGTAAAAAACATTATTTATTCAACTAAATACAAAATAATTAAGTAAATTTGAAATAATTTCTAAAACAAATGTATTTTATTAATTGTAGTAAAAGTGGAGTAGATTGAAAAAATATAAGAAAAACCCAATAATTAATATTTTAAAAATGCCATTTTCTCTCTTGAAGTATTCAACACATTTTGTTTCCATTTTGTTGTCTAGCATACGATGAGGGGACTTCTAAAAACCACGAACCAAAAACACCTCGGAGAAAGTCGTCTGTAAACCACGGGGAATCCCCACTGAGGTCAGTGTCCAGATTCGAGTCCATTTCTAGACACGAGGCGGGCTACGACTCGTCTAGAACCAGCGACTCCAACAGCCGAGATGACGATAAACCAATCCCAACCAGCAGGCGCCACAGCAGAACTGGAGACACGCCCGCAACAAATCGATTGTACGGTTCGAACACCGCCAGGATTGAGAGAGATAACCACCGACTGTACGACGCAAGGACAGATAAGCGATACGTACCTCGATACAGTCCCTTGTCGAACAGATCATCCTACAATCACGGCGACATTGTGGACGAGAACTTGATGATATCAAACCCCAAACTTGACATCACGCTGCTGAAGCTCTTCGCCCAATCCAATTCCCGGAGCTCTAGTAACAATACATTTCTTCCTAGCGTGGCGGACGGCCAAGAGGACTTTATTAGCATGGAGCCTGTGATGTGGAGGGTGCACCCCATGGACGCCGTGCACCGGGAGACGCTGGACCGCGAGATGGCGTACATCACCGACAACATCAACCCACGTGACGTGGTGGGGGAGTTGTACAGACAGCACGTGCTGACACACACGGACTACAACCAGTTATCGAGGTAAGTCATGAGTGTTACATTTAATTGTCTGTTGGTAAGTCTTTAGTGTATCACTCACATTACATTATCTGTAGGCAAGTCTTGAAGGTATTACATTACATTGTCTGTAGGCAAGTCTTGGGTGTATCACTCACATTTTTCATTGTAAGGAAATCTTAAGTTAATCACTCACATTACATTGTCTGTAGGCAAGTTTTTGATGCACCTCTCACATTTCATTGTCTGTAAGCAAGTCGTGGGCGTATAACTCACGTTTCATTGCCTGTAGGCACGTTTTTGGTGCACTACTCATATTTCCTGTCTGTTATTATATTTTAAATTTATTTACAACCAATTATAATTATCCAGATCCGTCCTGGTCGCATCTTTCATATTTTTTACATTTGAATTACTATCAATCAAGTCCCATTTATCCTTCTTGGAGTATGAAAGCCAAACTACATTTCTCCAATCTACAGCCCATGCCCTATGCCAATCTCTCTATCTGGTTCCATGTTTAGCCCAACATGATGGTATCTAACACAGTTTATATTCCGCCTGCCATAATGATTCCATTTGAGTGTCTGCTTGTTTCCGCAAGCAATTTACGCGCATGTAGCATATCCATTCCTTCCTGATCTCTCCTTCAGTTGTGAGTGAGAATGTCTTTGGCTTGAGGCTTGTTAGCCGAAGAGTCTGTTTCATAAAGTGTGGATGTTCTTCTGTCCCATGTTATTGACTGTTTTTTTAAAAATTCGTTTACAACAATTGTAATGTTAAGGAATCAAGTTTAAATTTGTACAATTATGTTATACATTTATTTGCGGCACTAGAAGATGCCTTTAAGATGGTTTGGGTTGTGATAATTGAAATACAATAAGTAATGACAAAGTTGCATTTTAAGAAAAAAGTGCTTTACTTGATTTAATTGGGGGGGGGGGGGAGCTTCTAAATCCTCTACCTCTAGTAAGGTGAGCTGCTGTTGTATTCTCCATTAGTTAGATAAGAATTCCTGTTGTTACTTTTCGAGGGCCTCTAGCCAAATCAGCCCTATTAAGTAGACGGGATTAACTTGGACGAAATTACAATACCGACATGTTTATGGTCAAAACATTATGACGTACTTTCAACAAAGTTGTTACATACACGAATTTTTATCTGTATAGAATAAGGACGGCTAATAAATCTATGCCTTACAACCTTAGACAAAGCGTATCTTTCATGACAGTGTATGTAGCTATCTAATCCACCAGACATAAATTTAAATATGAGGCAAGGCGTATTCTCAGTGGTAAAGTGTCTTCATATCTTTACTGCGTGTGAAACTACAATAAAAAACAAGTTCTTGTTTAGGAGACCCATCTGTCGATAACAAATAGTTTTTTTCTAGTATAAGTTGCTTTATTCACGGCTTTACTTATTAACCAATAACCAGGGAATGGATGTACATATATAGAAATATATATATATATATATATATATATATATATATATATATATATATATATATATATATATATATTATATGAAAGAAGTTAATAACAAAATACCTTCTTATCTGTTGGCCAGGATCGAGAACCAGGGAGACAGAGCCGTGAGTCGCCTGATGGTGAAGACTCTACAACGACGCGGTGCCGGTGCCTACCCGGCATTCCTGGAGGTCCTTCAGGCTCGTGGTTACCCGGATGTCCGTGAGCGTCTCTTGGAGTCGGAGCAGTCCCTGAAGGTGGGGATAAGGGCGGACAAACACGGGGTGAGTGCTCTAAAGGGTGACATGATATTGTTTCGGTAAAGTGCGGAGATTCGTGTTCGTTTTTATCGAGAAGATGTTACGTCACTACGTAGTTAATTACGTAAATAGAGCAGGGAGTGTAACAAAACGTGAAACATTTAAGTGAGACATTACACCACTAAAATAGTAATAAAAATGTATTAAAATTTGTTTTAAGACAGTCTAATTTAACATGTTCTGAAGTTAAAATGGATAAAAGATTTTTTTTAAAATGTTTTTTATATTGCAAACATTGTCTTTAGCACACATTATTAAAAAAAATCGATACTTTTTATTAGAAGTAGCGTCATTTAAAGATTATATTTGACTACCATGTTTAAATTACTTTATCTCCACTCCTTCATCTTAACCCCCCCCCCCCCCCCCCCCCCCAAAAAAATCACGAAAAAAATGAGATATATTGCTATAGATTTCTTTTTAAAGTTACACATTTTGCCCCTCGTAGCTCAAGAATTATTTAATGACACCACCAAGAACAAGGGACAGAAGCACGGAGAGGACAAACGATTACACAGGACTTCCCATGTACCCCACCCTCTCATCAAACCCCACCGTACCAGCCACCCCCCTGATGATGACCGCGGGGCAGATAACTCCACTGTTCCACAACCCCTACCCCTACCAGATGCCCATGACGTTTCAAATGGCCTCCCCTACCTACCCCATGATGGCGAATCAGGGGACAAACTTTGGTGGTGGGAGGACCCCCACGCCTTTAGACCAGATTCAGTTTAACCAAATCGAGAGAAATCTGGATTATATGAGGGACGAGTTAAGGGCCCTTCATGAAGAAATGAGGGACATCAAATCTAACATTAAAAAAGGTGAGTGTTAATCCTGAATATAAAATTCCACAATAAAAGTAATTATAGAACTAAAGTATATTCTTATTCAACGTAAAAAAAAATATTCATAATTACTACTTTTAAAAAAATTAAATATGAGCAGAATAACATTAAAAAAACACAGCAATTATATCGTTTTGTAAATGGGGTTGGGTTGAGGTGTGTAAGGTGTAAGTAAGGTGTATACTTTAGTATAAGTCAAAATCAAGACAGCCCCTGTTAGCATGTATGTTTGACATTGAAATAAAGAGACGGTGCAAGATTGTGAGATATTTACCTCACCAAAAATTTCAATTTGAATTTCAAAATGGTATCTCAAGATAAAAACAGGCATCGATAATTTCAGTGTGGACATAATTTTTAAAAATTATTTACTTAATCTCTGCATAATTGCTATTTTATTAATCGATCCAAAAATGTATACTTTAGGCAAACAAAGTCCCGCAACTCTTCCTTCTCATAACTCTGTGAGTGATGTCAAGAACCGACGAAAATACAGCGAGCCTGAGTTAGTTACCTCCCCTAAAGACCACAACACCGAACCGTACTATCGGGGACACCCCACAGAACAAGACCAGCCAACCAATCGCAAGTCACCGGATGTAAGGTTCAGCCAATCAGATCACAGATACCCTACTCACCCGATGAGCTCACACACCGGAAACACGAGTCCAGACACGCAGAAGGAGTACAAGGTCATCGAGGCGCAGGTGCTGGACAGACACCTGAAGGACCTTCACAACGAGGTCAAGGCTCTACATGATGACGTCACTGCGCTCTCAACAGCCAGGTCACTTAAGGCAGCTAACGGTGAGTACACAAACACTCACGCTTTAGAAATACCTTACTTGCTTTTTTCAACGCACACTTTTTTCACTGCTTTATTTTCTAGCTTGAAATTCTTGCATTTGGGTTGTGTGCACTTTTCCCCTTTCTATGTGAGCCAACAAACCAGAGGCGTAGCGAGGGGGGGGGGGGGGGGCGGGGGGTATATATGTCCTCGGGCGCCGACCCTAGGGGACGCCAGAATGGGTTGAAAAAAATTAAAAGCTCATTTTAGCTGCAGTTTTGCATTATAAATGTAAAAAATATATGGGGGTTGGGGCGCCAAATTAAAAGTTTGTCCCCGGGCGCCGGGAAGAGTCGCTACGCCTCTGCAGCAAACCTCTGTCTAATACACCTTCAACTCCAAACAGCTAAACTTTTGGTCTCTATTTGTGTGCCTGCCTATCTCTTTTATTAGATGTGAACGCTTGCAGTGATTTGAATTTTCAGAAAACAAAGAAGTATTTTTAAAAACTAAAAGCCACAAAAAACGTTTCAACTACATCGTCGTCAAAAAATCTGAAAAACTAAAACAGAAACGTTTCCATGTCAGTAGTTGAAGCTCGAGATATCTAAATTAGCTTTTTGTTTTTAATTTCCATAACACAATGTAATATATAATGTCTTGTTATTAATCATGGTTCTTTAGCTCTCATCAAATAAACAACATCTGTTTAAAATGTTTCCCGCGACTTAGCAAACTGTTTTTTATTGGCCCTAACAATAGAGATCTTCAAGTAGTTTCTGAGATTACTAGTTAGATTTAGCAAACGAATGAAAAATTCATCGTTTGCGTCGATTTCAGATAAAAGAAGAGCCAGCCAAGGGCGACAACTGGCAGGTTATACCAGTTCAAGGGGCAGTCCTCAGCTGTACGTCAATGAAGAACCCCTGGTCAATGTTCAGCGAGACAACAGGTCACCAGTGGGGTACCACGTCACCCACGACAGCAGTGACCCGTTACCAATTCCAAGGTCTTCCGTGTCGCCCGCTGGAGACAGTGGGATCCGAACCCCGGACCGCAGGACGCCGCTGCTCGATGGAGGCAGCAACTCTCTCCCCCGTAGAACTCACCGCAGCCACGACCCCTTGCCTAAAGACACGGATCACCTGCGTTACACACCTGAAGACTCACCCGAGTCTACCAGCATTGCAGATTCTAGTCGTTCACTTCACGATAATGGAAGAAATGATAGCCGAAAATTTCCGGAAAGAGAAAACGAAAGTAGTTCACTAAATTCTGGGAAGTTAGGAAGTGACAAAGTTAAAACTCCGACATTTAACAAAGAGGAAAATTTGTCAACACACACTAAAAGACCTAACAAAAGTGAAGACAATAAGCCAAGTTCCAAACCAGACAGAAGAAACCAAACATCCACACCTGAACTGAAGTTTACACCGCCGCCTTTACAAGAAACAAACAAGGGACAACACGAAAACAATTCACCGCGAAACAATCCATTGGAAACTATAAAACAAAAGGTCAAGGATGAAACATTAGGGCATTACGGCCTCGATACGCCTGCACAAAAACACGAAATTTCTAAAGATCGGAATCAAACGTCTAAAGACGAACATCATAAGGTGCCTACACAAGAACACGACATTTCTAAAGATCGGAATCAAATGTCTAAAGAGGAACATCAAAAGTTGCCTATACAAAAACATGAAGTTTCTAAAGATCGGAATCAAACGTCTAAAGAGGAACATCATAATGTGTCTACACAAAAACAACAAAAGTTCAAAACCAACTTCAGAGGCCAAGTCGGAGGTCCGTCTTCAGACTTTCAGATCTACCATCCCAGAAACTTTGACCCTTTGATCAATGAATTGCACGCCAAACTTAAAGCACTACAGGGGGAGGTGGCCGCACTCAAAGCTGAAAAATATGGTTGGTATCTTCACGTGATTACGTCCCTTTTCTCTCATTAGTTTCAGCTTTTGTTTCGGCACTTTTGTGTGTTTATTTGACATGCGCAATGGAAAGCATGCGCCATACTAGTTTTTTTTTTCGTTTTGTTTTTTCAATAATTGTTTAGTTGAGAACAGTGTGTTAATTTAACCAATTAACTTAGGTTGTGATTTCACATTTATTTGTCTAGGATTAAAATGAATCACCTTTTAGGACTAAATTTTATATTTTAAAAAGTATTCTATATTCAAATATCTTTTCGCTACGATTATTATTTTCTGATATGCAACACTTCGATTCCCGAACAATGTTATTCTAAACCTGGTCCATGCCCTACATACCCCATGTAAGCAACACTCATCCGACTCAAGTTTTCATAGAAATCATTTAGGAATTTTACAACTGACGATGGACTACTAATGGATGCTTGATCAAACGTTACCAACCCATTTATATCACTGCATTTCTTTTCAATATAAGCCGCTCTGTTAAAGTCAACCTCCTCATTACCCCAATTCAGCAACAATCCAGTCGTAAGTTTATTGGTCGCTAGGGACGCCGTACTGTAAAACCCTTTTGTGTGCCTAGCCTACAGTCAACTAAAACATAAAACTCGAGTTGAGTTTGGATCAAATAACTTTTGTATTGGGGGTTTCAAACTACAAACAGTTTAACTTTCCGCTAACACGTTTTATTGGTGAACCCATTACCTACCAATGTACAATACAACTTAAAGAACCACCAAGTTTGCTATGTCTAACAATTGCCTTCATATGGCTGAAAATTTAAAAGCATTAAGTTACATTTGAAAAACTAAATACGTGTACTGGTACTTATATTTAACTATATCTTGACTTAAAATGCCCAAATTAGTATTTTAGACAATCTTTTTAAAAAAAATAGTTTCCAAAAAAATAATAACTTTTCCAGATCATTTGAAATGTGTGCTCTATGTTATCCCAGAACGCGTGGGTCTTAAGTATCTTAAACACCGGGTGTTTTAATAGCACGTTTTAGTTGCTAGCCGATTACATATGATCTTAGTGAAGTGATACATCATTGAAAGGTCAAGCTTAGAGACCGCTCGAATCGTTGGGCAACACAGAAGCAGCATGCACTCTCATATCATATGGTCATCCTTTTAAAACTTGAGAGTTACAGCTACAGAATATCACTCTAGGCATCATGTGCAGTTTTCCCACTCGCCCACTTTATATCTTTGGAACAACTTATGCTCGTATTGAAACAATGAACGCTCGTATTGAAAAAAACGAATGCTCGATTTGAAACAACGAATGTTCGTATTGAAACAATGAACGCTCGTATTGAAAAAAACGAATGCTCGATTTGAAACAACGAACGCTCGTATTGAAATAACGAACGCTCGTATTGAAACAATGAACTCTCGTATCGAAACAACGAACGCTCGTATTGAAACAACGAATGCTCGTATTGAAACAACGAACGCTCGTATTGAAACAACGAACGCTCGTATTGAAACAACGAACGCTCGTATTGAAACAACGAACGCTCGTATTGGAACAACGAATGCCCGTACTGGAACAACAAACGCTCGTGTCTTGTCAACATCGATTCACAACTTGCTTGAGAGATTTTGCTTTTAGTATTGCAAGGCTAAAACACAACAACTAGTACTCTTCAATAATACCCACACAAACGTCCCATATTAACGCAGGGACACTCTATTTCAAGTACACTGGCACATTAACACAAACAAATTTAGTCATTTTTTTCAAATAATTTCTTTTTTTTTTAAATTTGTTAAATTGCTTTATATTATAGAAACTTTTATATCAAAAACACTAATTTTAAAATGATTTCTTCAAATCTCTTCAAGCTCTATCATGCAACTCTTTAAAAATAAATTATGGTATAGCAATCATTGGCACACAAAAACCAAGAAATAATTTATACCAAATTATGTTCCGGTTCAACAGAAACAGTAATTACTTAAAACAATAATGTGTGGCGTTTCATTGCATACAGCTCCAAGCATACATATTTAGCGAATTCTTATTTTTGCTTGCCCACAGACCCGGGGGTGACCTACATCAATCAACCAGACAGCCAGAAGGAGGCTCAGGCCCGGAAGCTGGAGAAGCAGCTGGATGACCTACATGCGCAGCTGAGAGCGCTGAGAGATGACGTCACAGATTTGAAGTCAGGTCAGTTTGATCGTGGACTAACAGAGTTTCTTTCAGGCATCTCTCCGGGCTCTTTCTTTTAATCTCTCATTTTCTTTATAAAACTAATTACAACGTAATCTAAAAACAAACAGCTCGCCATTTTTAATTTTTAAAAAATTAAACCTTTTACTTTGTGTTTCAGAAAACAACAAACGCCCCAACGCTGTAGGAGCCATAACTGAAACCCCGGGAAGTAAAGCAAAAGGTACCCCCCAGTACCTGTCCCCACAGCAGTACTCGTCCCCCGTCCCCCCTACCCGTCCCATCACACGGGGAGCTAACTCAGACAAGGAGAACCAACCCAATAGCAAGCCAGCGGAACAGTCAACACACAAACCAGAAGGTATGTAGAAAATTCTAGTTTAGGCTAGAACACTTTTTCCTTTAGCAAACCATATATATATATATATATATATATATATATATATATATATATATATATATATATATATATATATATATATATATATATACATAATTTTTCTCCAGGCCCGCGAGTGAGGTGGTCACGTGACGATACTGTCTACCCTATACCAAAGTCTGACGGAGGAAGAAAAGATTCCATCCGAGCCTTCACCCCCAACGGGACTCGCATCACCGAACCTTCCAGAATCCTGAGCCCGCCCGCCTACAACCCGCGCCGGGGGAGCAAAATTATGTCCCCCTTGACCATCTTCTCTGACCCCAGTTTACCCTGGCCTGAATCTGCCAGGGTGAAGGTCAAATCATAATTAGAATATTTAGATATTTAATTTATAAAAAAAATTTATTTATTTAATTTATTGTACTCATATCTTAAACCGGATTGGTTATATAATTGCTAAATAACTGTATTGATATGTAATAGCTTTTAAAGTAATTGTGTTCTCTCAAAATGTTTGTTACTTGCGGTGTATAACAAAAATAAATTGACACAATTGTTTAATATCATTAGAAGCTATCTATGGGCTTATATTCTAAATAAAAAAAATAGCTAAATTAAGCTGTTTAATCAGAATTACATAGCGCTGATAACTGTCATATGTGATAATTATGAGGAAACTGTCTCAATAATAAAACATTTGAAGCAAATACAAACACACACACACACACACACACATATATATATATGTATATATATATATATATATATATATATATATATATATATATATATATATATATATATATATATATATATATATATATATATATAGTTCACGATATATGTTTAGAGATACACCAATTACAAACATATCCATAAAAATAAATTGTATAGTGATCTTTGTTCCGAAATAAATTAAAAAGTTGTCTTTATTTTTACTTGATTTTTGTCGTTTATATAATTATTTCTTATTGTCTTGAAGTGCTAATAAAAGTCTTTAAAACATTGTAAAAGATCCCAGTCCTACCACATAAAAACTCACCATAAACCCCACCGTCTACCCAACAACAACAACTCACCATAAGCCACACCCACCATCCTACAACAACTCACCATAAGCCCCACCCACTAGCCAACAACAATTCACCATAAGCCACACCCACTTGCCAACAACAACTCACCATAAGCCACACCCACTTGCCAACAACAATTCACCATAAGCCACACCCACTTGCCAACAACAACTCACCATAAGCCACACCCACTTGCCAACAACAACTCACCATAAGCCACACCCACTTGCCAACAACACCTACTTTATACTAACAACTTAACAACCCCTCCATCCCCACCTCCTACACATACACGCGAGCTAGTACACGGGGTATGTTTACCTACACAGCCAATAGCTTTCCGGCATATCCAGTACACACTATTCAACACACGTTAACTGCCCCATTCACTTCACTAAAGTGATCACTCAGGCAATATAAAATACCCCCCCCCCCCCAAGTAAATAATTTCTCTTATCTTTCCGCTGAAGGCACAGGTAAGTGTAAGGTTACGAGTTCTCTTAGTATGAAAGGCACCAAAATCGAATATCGAAACGTTTACTTACAGCCCGGAAAGAAAATCAATACTGCGATAGAAGCAATCAAAGGCCGGTAACTCTGGTTGTTTTGTAAAGTGAGAGTTTCTTACAATACATGTGTGTATGCGTCAGTGTGTTGTGACATAGTGTGTGAATGAGAAAAACACATTACCATAGGATCTTTCTGTCATAGTGTAAGTAGTGTAAAGATATCATTCCATATTCCAATCACTTATTTAGCAATTGTACAGTTTTTAGATTCCAGTATATTTTTGCATTAATTAAACGTTTTTTCAAAGTAAATTTTGATATTACATTGTTTTATCGATTAGCCCTATTTAGTAAATTTATGATAGTTTACAACGTTTCCTAGTTTTAGAGTGTAAAATTTCCTATTAATTAATTCAAGTTCGCATTTTAAAAAATTGTGCATTTATAGAACAGAAAAATAACATTTCGACCGTTTTAGTTTTATACAACAGTGAACACGGATATTTTTTTAACCAAAGGGAAACTATTCCAAAAAATAAAATGCTGTATCTAGATTCTAGATTAACAACTAATTGTAAATGTGTCTTCGGTTTCAGCGCTACAAAAATGCCTGCGTGTGTGTGGAGTGTAGGAGATATGGGGAAAGGGGGGGGGGAGGAGAAGTTTTAAAAAAAAATCGATTTATATTACCCGTTTGTCGTTATTGCTCTTTTACATTGTATTTTAATTATATATCGTTTGTTAATCTCCACCCATGTTTTCTTTCTATGGATACCAAACCTTGACACAACTAACGAGCTTTACTATTTTCATTCTAAATATATTTCACAAGTCAGTTGTGATATTTTACCGGCTTGAGGCCCGACTACTAACCTAATCATTCTACGATTAACTTCATTTATATTTTAGCAGTCCAGCTATCTGTTCGTAGCAACTATAATGATACCTGAACCTTAGGTCCAGCTGTACAGCTTGTTATAACTTCCTGCTGTCTAGCTGTACTGTACAGTTACATCTTCCTGCTGTAGCCAACAGCCCCACCATGAGCAGCAGGCCACGTCTCCCAGTGCCAGAAATCGTCGTCCGTGAGGGCACGTTCGATAACTCTTCCATCCCATTACCGACACGTTCAGCAACTCCTGATGTGTCCATGGTCCGTGAAAAACTGGACTTGACGTCATTTGACACGACATTCGGACCGTACTCCTACATGAGAAGCTACACGTGAGTACATGCACGTTTGACACGATATTCGGACCTTACTCCTACATGAGAAGTTACACGTGAGTACATACACGTTTGACACGACATTCGGACCCTACTCCTACATGAGAAGTTACACGTGAGTACATGCACGTTTGACACGACATTAGGACCTTACACCTACATGAGAAGTTACACGTGAGTACATGCACGTTTGACACGACATTAGGACCTTACTCCTACATGAGAAGTTACACGTGAGTACATGCACGTTTGACACGACATTCGGACCTTACTCCTACATGAGAAGTTACACGTGAGTACATGCACGTTTAACACGATATTCGGACCCTACTCCTACATGAGAAGTTACACGTGAGTACATACACGTTTGGGTGACAACATTTTTTTTGTAAAGATTTATAAATTTTTTTTTACTAATTAAAGTGCATAAAAAATTTCTCTTAGAACCATACGGGTCATGGCATAGGTGAATAAGAGCTCACCTGATTCAGTGACCTCACCATATGAAGAGATAGTGTAGTCAGCTGCACGCCAATCCGCCTTTACTTTTCCTAACGTATGTTAAGTACCCATCAAAGCGAGGTGAACTTAGGGACGTCCAACGGACTCAAGCACGGGATCAAGCACGGGATCCGAACTCGAGACTTTCGGCTTAGCGGTCGTACGCTATTTATTGATGATAAATTATGTGATTTTGTAAAGTTCCCTTTTGAAACATAACGGTCCATAGGGAAAGTGAAGTAGAGTGCCCCTGTTTTTGTAAACTTCTAATGAAAGGATAGTGTGGTCAGCTTTGTGCTATTGACGCCGTCCAAAACCTACCTAAACTCAAGACCTGTCCTAAGCCTAAGTCCCAATCCTCTCCATGACGCCAACCCTAATTTAGAACCGAATTTCAAGCATTATCCCAAATTAAAACCCGAAATATAACGACGTTACGGGTAGAAAAGTATTTGATATGTTCTATTTTACCTTGCTCGAGTGTTTATAAGAATATAATTTTACTTTTAAACTTTATAGCCTTCCTACCCTACTGTGTCTAGTGTTTTAGTATATGCGAGCAGTACCTAAACTCAAACATAAAATATCCTTACCATTCGTATGTAATAATGTGAAATATTAAAATATATTTGTTTTTATTCTAGTCACAAAGATGATCATGTTTCTGAAACAAATGAACCGGAGACAGATACAGGACACCTTACTCCTGTTAACGAAAACCACACGTCTGGGGTTTCAAAACATCCAGCAACTGCTTTGGAGGAAAATAAAGAAGAGACCAATAAAAGACAACACACCCCAGATGAAGACCAGAAGTCTGAATCTCCTGCTATGAGGGGTGGTGATACAGACACAAGACAAGACAGTCCTGTCTTTGACAGAGATGAACTAGCTAACACGACTAGAAAACCCACGCCTGTTGGTGAAGAAGTCGAGCCTAAGAACACCAGACGATCCACACCTGAAGTCATCAAACCTGAGAACACAACTAGACAAGCCACGCCTGACAATTACCACACAACACAAACACCAGCAGAACATCATGGGATTGACGGTAAATGAGCTGACTTATAGGTTTTACTAAAACATATATTCCTCCTTAATCATTATTTCTGATAACTTAATGAATTAGTCCGAAAACACCAAATAAAATACAATTGTATGTTCATTATATGTTCTTTACACATTTTCCATACTGTATGGTGTTAGCTATAAGAAAACTTGTATTGTATAATTTAGGTGACGATAACTATTACCACGCAGAAGAGAAAAATTCCTCAAAGCCCACATCACCGGTCAGCAAGACACGGCGCCTCTCACAAACTTCGGGAATTTCCGCAGCGTCCAGGAACTCCCAACGCAAGTCGTCATTGAACAGGCGTCTCTCACAAACATCGGGGATTTCCGCAGTCTCAAAACACTCCAAGTCATCCTTGAGCAAAACACCCGGAAGTTTCCTAAACCACGCCCTCTACCAGGACAGCTTCAACACAGAACAACCACCATCGAACCCCATCCCCAGAAGTCGTCTAGATAACGGGCTCAAATCTAAAACACCTAAAAGCAAACTCTCCACGCATGCGCACCACAAAAAAAACAGCACCAGACGCATGTCTAAGACCGCGCCTCTGCTGAACACGACCTCCTACTACCACGGGGACTTCATCGACGAGAACCTGCTGATCTCGGCCACCAAGCTCGACAGCACCCTCATCCGGTTGTTCTCACAGACGCGAGACAAACACAACGACCTTGAGAACCGTGCGTCAGACGACAAGCTCATCCCTTACCTGAACTACCTGGAGTCAGACCTGATCAGCATGGACGCCGTCCTGTGGCGCGTCCACCCGATGGAGGCGGCCCACAAGGAGACGCTGGAGCAAGAGTTGCCGTTCATTGAGGGCAACATACAGCCAAGGGAGGTCATCCGAGATTTGTATCAAGATGAGATTCTAACTCATATGGACTTTACACAATTTACAAGGTGAGATTTGTATCAAGATGAGATTCTAACTCACATGGACTTTACACAATTTACAAGGTGAGATTTGTATCAAGACGAGATTCTAACTCACATGGACTTTACACAATTCACAAGGTGAGATTTGTATCAAGATGAGATTCTAACTCACATGGACTTTACACAATTCACAAGGTGAGATTTGTATCAAGATGAGATTCTAACTCATATGGACTTTACACAATTTACAAGGTGAGATTTGTATCAAGATGAGATTCTAACTCACATGGACTTTACACAATTTACAAGGTGAGATTTGTATCAAGACGAGATTCTAACTCACATGGACTTTACACAATTCACAAGGTGAGATTTGTATCAAGATGAGATTCTAACTCACATGGACTTTACACAATTCACAAGGTGAGATTTGTATCAAGATGAGATTCTAACTCATATGGACTTTACACAATTTACAAGGTGAGATTTGTATCAAGATGAGATTCTAACTCACATGGACTTTACACAATTCACAAGGTGAGATTTGTATCAAGATGAGATTCTAACTCATATGGACTTTACACAATTTACAAGGTGAGATTTGTATCAAGACGAGATTCTAACTCACATGGACTTTACACAATTCACAAGGTGAGATTTGTATCAAGATGAGATTCTAACTCACATGGACTTTACACAATTCACAAGGTGAGATTTGTATCAAGATGAGATTCTAACTCATATGGACTTTACACAATTTACAAGGTGAGATTTGTATCAAGATGAGATTCTAACTCACATGGACTTTACACAATTCACAAGGTGAGATTTGTATCAAGATGAGATTCTAACTCACATGGACTTTACACAATTTACAAGGTAGCCCCATTCCCCACGCCCTCCCGCTCTATCGGTGTTAACATGTTACTGGCTGTTTAAAAATCAATAGTTTCCATACGCAAAGTCCTAAAGCTTTAAAAAACGAATCAACCATTTTTATGAATCAATCAGTTATACTTTTTTAGGTTATGTTCAATCTTGTTCAATACATAATCCATGTTATTAATATACCTTATGAAAACAATGGCTACAGGATATTACCCCCCCCCCCCCGCAGCAATTACCCCCCGGGGAGTAATTGGTGGGGGGTTAGTGCCCTGTTCCCGAAAACAATATATTATTTTTACTGGCTAACTTAATACGTCTTCGAAATGACGGCAAACGACCACTTAGAAGAATATTGCTACAGTCTTTTCAGTTCTTTAATCATTATGAAGTTTTCCACTTTCTCTAATTGTTGCTGTTGCTGTAAGTCTGTCAACATAGTGACTGTTATCTTTGTTAGCTCTATCCCCCTAAGTAGTTTTAATATAATTTAATTAAGCAATTAATTAACATTTAAATGAATCCTTATTTTAATTAGAACTGAAGGTCAAGGTGAGCGAGCGGTCAACAGACTGCTGGTGAAGACACTCCAGAGACGTGGGGACAAGGCCTACCCAGCCTTTGTTGGGGTGCTGAAGAAACTCGACTACACGCACGTCTGTGATAGGCTCAGGGACACGGAGGCCGTCATCAGACAGGGCATGAAGGACGACGGTTCGGATCTCGCCCGGAGGATGGAAGAGGTTCATTTTTTGTTTTTTATTTGACTTAATGACATGACAAATTATATCTTGTCCAGATTTTTTTAAAACTCAGTACACCAGACAGGATGTGAGACATCTCAACAGGTGGTCTCTTGTAGTCCTGGTCTAGCTGATGCTGTATTTTTTCTTATGCTTCGTTTTGTTTTGACTTTTATAACCAAGTGAAAAAAATTGAATGCTGGGGTGTTTGTTGGGGTGCGAGGGAGTGGTATGGGTCAAGTTTTATTTGTTGTTGTTGTTTACTTCTTGTGGTATGGGGAAAGTACGAGAGGGGGTGGGGGGAGGGCATAATTTCTCAAACTGGTAGATAAATAACTCATGGTACACATCCTACTAACGGCGTGGTCGAGTGTTAGAGTGCTCATGTTACCGACGTCTAGTGTTTGGGTTACCGCCCGCTAGGTGTATACATCTGTGAATTCCAGAGATATAAAAAACTCATCAGTGTAAATTCATCTGTCCTATATTTGGTCAGAAGGGATAGGTTCTTTTCTCTTTTCTGTACAATTACATGTAACAAACATCGGTTTTATTAATGTGCTATAGTAGCATGCCTGAATTATACATTTCCATAAAAGTAAATAATTGTAAAGAGCTTTTAAAAAAATAATTCTAGAAACGACAAAATGTGTGTTTATTAATTTTTCTACAGGAAAATCTACGCCATCTCCACCGCCAGATGGCGCCCAACACACCTTTCACCGTCATCAACACACCTGGTTATGACAGCGACACGGATGAAACCCATCGGCCCCAGGCCTACACCCCCCAGACAGTCCCGGCCACCACAGAACTGGCCGTCGACCAGACGCAGCTGGACAGTCACGTGATGGACTCCAAGGTCCTCGAGCAGCATCTGCGTGACCTGAGCGCCGAGCTGCAGGCCCTGCAACATGACGTCAGTGCACTGCGGACCCTGCAGGAGTCAAGGACAAGTGAAGGTAAACTTGACCCTAGCAAAACCGTTGGAAACCGACCTTTGTCATTGGTTAAGAAGGAAGTGATGTATATATATATATATATATATATATATATATATATATATATATATATATATATATATATATATATATATATATATATATATATATATATCTGTTGATTCTAAATATTGTTTATTGGTTTACTTGAAGACCTGACTCTAAAAGTTGACGCTGACCTAGATTCTCAGACGCCGGAAGTTGAAACCCCAGAAGCCAATATTACGGTGGATGAGAAATCAAAATCACAAAAAAGTGGATCATGTTCGATTTTATGATTGGAATCAATCAATTAATTAAATAATTAAACTTTTCTGTTGTGTTTTTTTCATTGTTAGAAAATATTAGATTTTATTAGCGTTAAACATATCAAATTTATACGTTTATGTATATCTTTTTTTTTTTAAATTATTTACTTTTACTAAAAATGTCATTGATAAAAAATGTCATCTAAATATTCTTGAAAAGTTGTTTTTTAAAATCAACAGTTTTGTTTTTCATAGTATAAATTACGTACGGTACTTATAAAGGAGTAAAGGATGGGAGCCTTGTCATTGAAGTCATATTTTAATATGATTTTTCCATAAGGCTTGAGCCTAAGGCAATTGCCTAATTCAATAAACAAGAAGAATTAGTACTGGTGACTCGTAAATTTTTTTCCCGGAATCACTAAAAAATTGTCCCGCTGTCGCTAGAATTTTTAACCTTTGACATCCCCTCACACACACCCCATTGTCACAAAACTCAGATACATTACTGAAAACTTAAGGCTTTCTTAAAGGGATATAACCGCAATAAGTATATTACGTTTGTAATATAAATGAAGTTGTCTCGCTTTTCAAGCCCCCCCCCCCCCCCCGCCCCATGAAACACTATGATGTTGAATGTTTTGGGTTTTATATTAATGTCACATGCAAAGGTGTGTGGTGTGTATTTGTATGTGTGTTTGTGTGTGCGTGCGTGCGTGCGTGGACCTCGGTAGCTGATGAGGGTCTGTTCAGAAAGTGTGACGTCGTACTTACGAATTTGAAAATTTTGAAACCTAAAGCCTTGCAGTTATTTGGTAAACTATAGTAAAAATTAGTCAACATAACTGATTTCGACCCATCAAAATGAATACTCTTTGCAAGAAAAAAAAATCTATGGTTTAAACAACACAGTTGCTATTTATTGGGAAGAGGGGGTATGAGTATAAAATGTGACGTCGTTTTGAACAAGTTGGCAACATATGGTGACGATTTTAAAATGATCGGGGGAGTTATACTGCCATCGCCAGCCTATAGATTATACTAATAATATGATAATCATATGCATGCAATCCATCTCCGGATAGAGCACTTGGTATTTTAGTTAATTACTGATGAGTAAATGTGAGTAATAATTTGTACATTTGATTACAATGTGGCACGAATTATAATAATTATCTTTAGATATTTTCATTAGATAGTAATGACTTTGTGAGTTTCCCTGTGAATTATTTCAGAGTATATTTCATGCGTTTGATTGAGTATGCTTGGTAATAGTTTACATACAAATACACAGACAACCACATAGACACACAGACAAAGACACACACACAACCACATGCACATATACACTCAACTATCGCATATTTCCTCATATAACACGCACACATACAGACAAATACAAATATGTTTGATTTAGGGACATCAAATGACTTCATACTCTGGAGGCAAAATGGGGACTTGACTGGAGAGGGGGAGCGAGTGGGAAAAGAAAACGTGACGTCAGACATTTTAAATTGTGGTTGTTTTTTTTAAAACTAATTACAGTAGCCATTTCTGTGTCATATATATTTAAATAGTGAAAAAGGTCAATATAAACACGAAAAAAGCCTTGTTTTCGTCTAAATAAAATCTAACGGATCGTATATAAATGATATAACACTTTTCATACAAAAACGTCTTTGGCTGGTAAGGTAAACTGGGTTTATAGTGTTGGTGGCGGTAGCAGAGGAAGTGGAGTGGTATATCAACCATTCATGTGTGGGTCATTCACACATTGATGTAGTTCATCCATTCATCTGTGGGTCATTCACACATCGATGTAGTTCATCTATTCATCTGTGGGTCATTCACACATTGATGTAGTTCATCCATTCATCTGTGGGTCATTCACGCATTGATGTAGTTCATCCATTCATCTGTGGGTCATTCACACATCGATGTAGTTCATCCATTCATCTGTGGATCATTCACACATTGATGTAGTTCATCCATTCATCTATAGGTCATTCACACATTGATGTAGTTCATCCATTCATCTGTGGGTCATTCACACATTGATGTAGTTCATCCATTCATCTGTAGGTCATTCACACATTGATGTAGTTCATCCATTCATCTGTCGGTCATTCACACACTGATGTAGTTCATCCATTCATCTGTGGGTCATTCACACATTGATGTAGTTCTTCCATTCATCTATAGGTCATTCACACATTGATGTAGTTCATCCATTCATCTGTGGGTCATTCACGCATTGATGTAGTTCATCCATTCATCTGTGGGTCATTCACACATCGATGTAGTTCATCCATTCATCTGTGGATCATTCACACATTGATGTAGTTCATCCATTCATCTATAGGTCATTCACACATTGATGTAGTTCATCCATTCATCTGTGGGTCATTCACACATTGATGTAGTTCATCCATTCATCTGTAGGTCATTCACACATTGATGTAGTTCATCCATTCATCTGTCGGTCATTCACACACTGATGTAGTTCATCCATTCATCTGTGGGTCATTCACACATCGATGTAGTTCATCCATTCATCTCTCGGTCATTCACACATTGATGTAGTTCATCCATTCATCTGTGGGTCATTCACACATCGATGTAGTTCATCCATTCATCTGTGGGTCATTCACACATCGATGTAGTTCATCCATTCATCTCTCGGTCATTCACTCAACAATGATGCGGACCGCATCGGGTGACACCATTTAGGGGGGGGGGGTGACACCAAGGCAAAAAAATAGAAAAATATAGAGAGAAAAATGATAATTAAACTTAATTAAGTGATTAATTCGAGTGTTAAAAAGTCTTTTAAGAGCAAATTTGACAAATCCAGAAAAAGATGAAAGGGGAGGAGGGGGTGCAAATCAAAAGTTTGAGGGGGTGGAGTGCAAATCGAAAATTGAAAGTTTGTCCCCGGGCGCCGGGAAGGGTCGCTACGCCTCTGGGGGGTGACACGATTAAGTGCCGCACCGGGTGACACCCGACCTCGCTACGCCACTGGCTAAGGGCAAAGTCCAACTGAAAAACTCGACCAAAGAGTGAAAACAATGTAAAGATGCAAGACAAGCTATTCCTGTATTTAGTTTGATAACAAGGCAGGTCAATTACATAATAATATGCAGATCATATTGTTGAGTCATCGGAGCGGTTCCCAAAAAAAATGCCCATTGTTCCATTGTCGTCTTTTAGTTTCGGATGTTTTCGTTTCAATGTTTTTTTTCTAGTCATCCACCATGGCTTGACGCATCGTAGCTGGGATGTTATTGTCGCGGTCTAGGTCCGGGAAATTATTAAGTAATTTGAATAACGGGCTTGGCACAAATGAGGTCGCGATGTTGCTTTGTTTTATACCCCCCCCCCCCCTCTTAATATACTCATCCACACGCATTGTCACAAAATTCAGACCTTAAATGACATTAAAGTAAAACTATCAACCCCCCCCCCCCCCCCCACCCCTCCTGAGCTCACTGCATACCGTCACAGATACCCGACCCCTCCCCAAAGTGTGACGTCTTTAACTTACTTTCTAAAAAAAACCTTTCGTTCAAGACGTAGATCTAGATGTGGAGTGGCGTGTCTGATGGCGATACATCCATGAATAGACATCTAAAGCTTTGTTTGAACGGCGCATAACCTATTTCCTTATCAGTCAAAAAGACAGTAAATATATAAATCAAGTTCAAGGCCTTTTATTACCTGGGACATTCTCGTGTGAACTCTGGCCTATTAATTAACAACGGGACAACGTTAATTCAGAAATTGAAAAAAATAAAAAAATAAAAACTAGCAAAAGCAGCACTCCTATAAGAGAACTTTTTCTTATCTTAAAATTACAACAGCCTTATATATTAAAACATTAGGTGGATGGGCTGTACACTACAGTAGTAAATTAGATCGGTGGCCTCTTTTTAGTACAACGGTTCTTAGACTGGTGCCAGAGACCCGCGCACTGTTTATGTCCTTTTTTTAAATAAGGGTACATCCAGAAACGAGTTCACGCCTTTTTAACACCCCCCCCCTAATATTTTGACACATCATCTCTGAATTCCAGATACCCCCACCACCTAAAGTTACGTCACGTATTAGCCTTCATACCTATATTAACATTTAGTTTTTGAAGTAGCGATTATTTTCTAAAATACTGCATGAGCTACTACAACGTTATGAATATTTATCTATTTTTTTACAATTTGCCAAAAAAAAAAATCTGCGACGTAAGTGCTCTAATTAATTTTCTAATGAACAATTTTTAAATTTAAAAAGTCAGTTATGCAGCCAAATAATAATCAGGGGGGGGGGGATTAAAAATTAATTACCTGCCACTTCGTAAATTTTTAATTAAGTTCGCTTTTAACTGTGTGTTGATTGCCGCCCCCCCCCCCCCCTTCACTTCTAATCTGCAGCTTAATAGTTCAGATGGGGTAGGGGGCGGTGAGGATGGGATCACGCTACCCCCATTACCATATCGTGCTAGCGCCCATCCATAGAGTGCTTTAGTCACGGTCCATGGCCTAATGAGGTCACATATTTACTTAACCTAACCTATCTTTGAGTGGGGAAACTGCAATGGTAGGAAATGTAAATAATTTTTTTTTAAATTTCTATAGGACTGTTGAATTTCTTTTGAAAAATGGATCCATGGGATCGCAAACTCACCAAATGTGAGACCCACTGCTCAGCTGAAAGTCTAGTCGACAGGGGTAAAAAAAAAAAAACCCTTTGCTATAGATTGACATAGTGCGCCATCCTGGGTCGTGTTGTGTAACAGTTTTCAGCCAATGCGTGGAGTTAGTGCATTTTTCTTGACGTGCTGTTGTGTGTGTTTGTGCAAAAGATTAATCATCTTAATTAGTTTAATAATTATTAAAAAAAGAATTTAAATTTCAAATATGTGCAATGTAGACTTAGTTTCATTTACCGGTTACTAAATATTTGAATACTGATACTTATATAGGTTTCAAACAGATATAAAAGGAAATTCCCGCGGGTCTTAAATAAGCAACAAAACAACTGACACGGATTTATTTCAGCTGTCTTACTGCCGTCTAAAAGTTGTTTTTCAACCCTCCAGCTATTTGTTGAAGCAATAAGCAAACTACGAATACGGGGTCAAACAGTTTTTTTTAATAAACAGGTAAGCTCGCTTCACTGATGTAGCCTATTTAAAACTTTAATCCATAGTCTTTGTGGGTTATTTATCTGCTTGACAACACCTGTTTCGGTATTTACGTATCGTGTTAACATTCTTTCTTACACTGTAGCGGTGTTGTATTCTTCTGTATAAATACTTTGTTAATCATTTTCTGGAGATGACGATTTTCTATTTTCGTGTTTGAATACGCACACCCCCCTCTCTCTTTTCCATGACGCGATGTAGCTTGACACTGTATTAGTGTGTTACAGTGTGTAACGTGCATATTGTGTGTCTGTGTAGTGTGTATTGAGTTCAGCTGCCACGGAGTTGTGAGCGTTGATCAAGTGAGCGAGCATGAGACACGACATGCGGGCAAGCGTGCGTGCCATTAAGATTTTAATTATAATTAAGGCTATGCGTATGTGGGTATGCATAGCAGCCGTGATGTACAGTGCATTAGCGTTAATCCTCTTTGTAGGCCAACCTTTACAAATCGGTTATAAATATATCACTGAACTCAGGGGGATTAAGGGTTCAGATTTCCTATATTAATTCCCTTGCAGAGGGGGGGGGGGGGCAGGTATTGGGGGGATGTTGACACAAAGACACGTAGAGCTATAAAACTTGGGTCAATAAATTTGTCTACGCTAGGCCACATGACCAGGCATAAGCAGGGAAATTACTGAGCCGAGAAATTAGATAAGCGAATTAATTTACGGCAACTCGTTTGAAAAGCTAACACCTGTTGAAAATAAGTTGAAAAACAAGACACATTTTAGTGGTATGTACCAACATTTCAGTATCTCCCATCGAGCATATATACATATATATATAAATATATATATATATATATATATATATATATATATATATATATATATATATATATATATATATATATATATATATGTTACGTTTACCTATCTACCAGCCAGATAGAAGGTGAACGTCCCCAGATTCTTTTTTCGGGGCCGTATGCAAATGACTTACAGCCTAAATGAATGAACACTAACTCAACAACACACTAGGGCTCGAATTTGAAGTCTAGGGAAAACTAGTGATACTATTGACGTTAACACTCATCCAATCTGCATACAACCTTTAATAAGCGAACACAGTTGTGGCAGAACACTAGGTTAAACGAGATAAAATATTTAATTTAGAATATAACAAAACCCAACTTACAAAGCGTAAGAAAAAACACTATCACAGATTTTAACACTGTATAAAAATAGCCACAGGTCACACAACACTGCTATAGCTTCAAGAATCACTTGGCGACAAGTAATATTAAACTAGAAGACTAAAACAACTTAAGAAAGCATGGCACACTCAGGACTTAAGATCTCTCACGTTCAAATGGTCAGAATCTATTGCCGGACAAAATGGACGGCTTGGTCCTAACAGACCGCTTAATCAAGGTAGACTGCCACGTGTGGCGAGTGTGCGAACCAGATAAAGACTTATGCAACAGGGGAGGTTATCCTCAACTCATGTAGTCATTGGTTGGGATGGTCATCTGATCAGAATCAATCAATCAGATCTTTATGGAAAATTTCTGGGACCTAGACACCCTTAATAAGACAGTGGAAAAACCCCGGTAGTTGCACCATCACTCCATATAAGGAATTATACAATGTCAAAATAAAAATGGAACCTGACTCGACCTAAGTAGGTCACATCCCCTCCCTTTTTGGAAGTGACAGATAGGTTCCACAAAAACATACATAAGGAACCAATCTGGCAATGAGAATAAAAAAAATGTTTTACAAATGTAGGCAATCAAAATCATAATACCAGATGAAAATATCCCTGAACATAAAAGCGAAGTAACTCAAACTTTTACAACTGGTGAAAGGGGAGTAACCCTTCCAAAAAATAATTATACATCAAAATCCCTCAAAAAAGGGTATTACAATATTTCCATATGGATATTAAAAGTGGTAAACCCGCCAGGGTAAGACCTTTATTTCAATGACTAGCTACAATATCAACTGAGTCATATGAGACATATTATTATAAAAAGATTACATATAATCAAAAACCACCTTTAATTAAGGTTCACCTGAAAATAAACAAAATATTCAACAGGAATGGAATTTTGAAAAATTCAAAACTCATACCACTCATCTTCATGTGAGTGTCACCCAAACACAACACCTGTGTATGGTCTTAATGAACCACAAAACATGTCACATGATCAATGTGTGCAATACGATTTTACATCCTTGACAAACAATCAGCCACAACATTATCACTACCCTTAATGTGTGAAATTTCCAGATTAAAATTTTGGAAATATAAACACCATCTCAATATCCTTTGATTTGTTTGTCCTAACTTAGAGGTAAATTTCAGGGGATCATGGTCAGAAAACACTCTGACTGGATTGGTTGAAGAAGAGACATAGACTTCAAAATGTTGTAATGACAAAACCAAAGCTAAAGCTTCTTTTTCAATAGTAGAGTAATTCTTTTGGTTCTCATTTAACTTCCTGGAAAAAAAGGCAATGGGATGGTCAATTCCCATGTTGTCTTCTTGAAATAGGACTGAACCAATGGCTAAGTTGCTAGCATCAATGGCAAGTTTAAAGGGCTTGCTGAAGTCTGGTGCAGCCATAACAGGAGCATTAGATAAAAATGACTTAATGGTTAAAAAAGCTTCTTGACATTTATTTGACCATTCAAACTCAACACCCTTTTTCAATAATGCAGTAAGAGGTTCAGCAATAGCTGAAAAGTTTTGACAGAACCGCCTATAGTAACCAGCCATCCCAAGGAACTTTTTGATTTCTTTACAATTTTTGGGAGGAGGTAACCTTACAATAGCATCTACTTTAGCTTCAATGGGCCGAACTTGGTTCGTTCCCACTTGATAACCCAAATAGGTAATTGAACCTTTACAGAAATCACTTTTATGCAAGTTTACAGTAAAATTCACTTCAGACAATTTTCTAAAAAGGTTAGTCAACTGAACAATATGTTCTTCAAAGGTATTAGAAAATACAACTATATCATCTATGTAGGCCTCACATTGGTCTATGTCAGCAATGACAGAGTTAATGACCCTCTGGAAAGTTTGACCAGCATTTCGCATACCAAAGGGCATACGTTTGTATCTATAAAAACCATTAGGGGTTACAAAAGCAGATATTTCTTTTGCACGGTCAGATAAGGGGATTTGCCAGTATCCTGAAAGTAAATCAATTTTGGAAATTATCTTAGCTTGACCAACTTTATCAATAACGTCTTCTATTCGAGGTAATGGATAGGAATCAGCTTTGGTGAGCGCATTTACTTTCCTAAAGTCGGTCACAAACCTGAAAGATCCACCGTCTTTCGGGACTAGGAGACATGGGGAACTCCAGTTGCTGAAACTGGACTCAATGATATCATTCTTGAGCATATAATCAATTTCATCTTTTATCAAAGCAGCTTTTTTCCGGATTAACTCTATAGGGGTGTTGTTTAATGGGTTTTGCGTCACCTACGTCTACATCATGAGGTGGAACCTTCGCTTCTTTGGGGACATCCCCAAAAATAGAGGGAAATGTCTCGAATAATTGAGACAATCTATGGCTTTCCTCTGTGGACAAATGCATAAGGTGGACATTCAAATTATCTAAAAAGGAAGAATTTACCAATTTTGGGGGTTTCAATTTATCATGTATCACATCATCAGAAACATTTGAACATACAGGTAAAGTAATTTTAGCTGTGGAATGAAAATTGTTACAATTATCATAATACTTTTTCAGTGAGTTAACATGAAACACTGTCTGTTTCTTTCTTCTGTCGGGCGTATTGACAACATAGTTCAAATCACTTAATTTTGAATGCACAGTAAAGGGTCCACAATATCTCAAGGATAACGCATTGTTCAGAGATATATATATATATATATATATATATATATATATATATATATATATATATATATATATATATATATATATATCGCAAAAGGTAAAAAACCTAGGAATTTAGCTCACCATGGTTTGTCACGTATAATCTATGTGTAAATGTCCTTACTTGGTCAGATACTACGTATGTCCCCCATGTCCTTAACTTATACATATACAGATCTAACCAATATCCTCAGGTTTACCACCCACCTAGTGTACATCATACAACACAACCATGACGGAGACACCAACCAACAACTACAAGAACAGACTCGTCTTCTTCGTCAATGGCCAAAAGGTAAACATCGAACACATCAGTGATATTGATTCTCAGTGACGCTCTCTAAACTGTGTTTACAATATATCAGTCTATAAGCTGATATACTGTATTCAGATGTGTGATTTTATAACAGCCTTTAACATTTCTCTAATGAGCTTCCACCATAGTCATAGTGGATGTATAATTTCGATAATGGATGTATTTTTCTATAGTAGATGTATTTTTTCGATAGTGTATCTATTATTTCTATAGTGGATGTATTTTTCTATAGTGGTTGTATTATTCTATAGTGGATGTATTTTTCTATAGTGGGTGTATTAATCTATAGTGGATGTATTTTGATATAGTGGATGTATGTTTTTCTACCTCTAGGTGGAGGTGATCAACCCTGACCCTAGGCAGACATTGTTGCAGTACTTGAGGAAAGATCGTATCCTTATATAAGCTCACATTGTACCTGCTAAGGCGAAATTACAGTACTCACATTTTCACTTCAAAAGGTGGCTTACCATAAGTGCTTGAGTTAGAGTTAGGGTTAGGATCAATTTGAGGCTATTGTTTTTATGATCAAGTTTAGGTTTTGAACTCGTATTAAAGTTTTCATTAGATTAAAGCTTATAGTCAATTTATAATTAAAGGGCTGAAGTAATTGTTTAGTTGAGTCTAGGGCTACCATCGTATGTATGCTTTAGGTCAAGGTTTGGGCTGGAATTAAGTTGTTGGTTTTAGAAGTTTGGTGTTTGTTTTCCGAGCTTGTCTCTAGGATACACATACGTCCACCCACCTTAGGTGATTACTCGAGTCTATTCGGGGAAAGTAAAGGCGACAGGGTACAGTACTGAGAACAGAATCGCTCGTTGTGCGGAGGTCATTGAAACATCAAAAAAAAAATTAACTAATTGTCTTGTAGTTGAGTTGGGTTAAGTTATACTAGACGAGACAACCAATTGTACCAAAATGTGAGAGTATAACTAAACTACAGTTTAGAACAGCCAACAAAATCTACACGTTTACTCCAGATTTTTGCCTTAACCCTCTCCAAGTTCGACTCACAGGCACCAAGCTGGCGTGTGGTGAAGGGGGGTGCGGGGCGTGCACCGTCATGGTGGCCAGGTACAGCAGTGACACTGATGACGTCACGTATCCTTTGTTTTAAAAAAATGTCCGGTTGGTGCAGGAACTAGTGACCTGTTAAATACATTGTTCTTTTCTGTGGGAAAACATTAATATTTTTTTAAAACTTGTACAAGGAGACAATTATGCTTTCGATTTTTGTGTGTATGTGCGTCTGTGCGTGTGTACGGGAACGATTGCGTATGTGTCTGTGTATGAGTTATGTACCCATACGGTCAGTTTCTTAAAATAAAAACCTTACCATTTTTTTCTGTATAACACCCCCCACCCCCACATTACTCCTACTGATTACGCACCGAACTACTCTGGCAGAATGAAGACAAAAACAAACAATAAAATGTTATAGGATGCCGTGATCGGCTGGTAGAGCGCACGACTACCAACCGGAACGTATTGAGATTGGGTCCCGGGTTCGCGTCTGTGGGACGTCACTGAGTCTACTCAGCTCCTATTGGTACCTGACTTAAGTTATGGAAATTCAATACGTCATTTAATGCTTGATACATTGTAAAGAAAATAAAACAGTATAAAAATAGTCAACAAAGTTCCGACCGGATATAATGCTATTGTTGCTGTAGTTTTGTTGTTTACACAAATGTTCGACAGATACGCGAATTCCGTAATTTTTTCCGGAAAAAATGCGTCCCCACGTTTCTTATCTCAAAATCCTTGATTTAATCCCACCCCCGATACGTCACAAGGCAGTTCAAATTCGTCTATATTTCCTAGTTCATGTCGTCCTAACCTCCCTTATCATAAAACTTTAACACGTCTCTGCGGTATGTGGGCGGCTTCTTTTACTTCCCGAAACAGAGAAAAAAGGTTCACCTTTTTTTTTTTAAATGTTAGCGAACAAGATCAAGAAACAGCCAACATTCTGTTGTAAGTTTCACGTTCTCCCAATTGAGACAAACAAGTATGCATGGTAAAAAAAAAAAAAAAAAAACAAGCCGGGTACGCTTTTATTTTAAAAGAAAAAAAGAACGAACTCAAACAAAACAAGTAAATCTTTTGTATCATGCGATTTCCTACGGTCGGGGTGGGGGGGGGGGGGGGGGGGTGGGGGGAGAGAGTTATAAGTCTTTATTTGAACTTAAACTACTATACCTACAACTTTCCAACAAAAATGCGCAGTTATTTTAATAATGTAGAAAAATTACTTTTTATTCAAACAATGCTACATTTTGATATGAACTCTATAATATCCTCTGCTCCTTAGCTTCAAAGTATAAAACATTCAGTGTTTCTTCCAGATTTTTTTTTCCGGGGGTGGGCGTACTTTATTTATTTATTTTTTTTGGGGCGGGGGGGGGGGGAAAGAGGGGAGTTACATTTTCCTGGGAGACGGACACTGGTAAAAGTATATGGTTTCCAGTGGCGTAGCGAGGTCGGGTGTCACCCGGTGCGGCACTTAATGGTGTCACCCCCGCAGAGGCGTTGCGACCCTTCCCGGGGACAAACTTTCAAGTTTTCGATTTGCACCCCCCCTCAAACTTTCGATTTGCACCCCCCCCCCTCCCCTCAAGTTTTTCTCTATATATTTTGCTATTTTTTGCCTTGGTGTCACCCCCCTAAATGGTGTCACCCGGTGCGTTTCGCACCCCCCACCCCCCCCCTCGCTACGCCCCTGATGGTTTCTATATACATTCCATTTCGTTAGGGGGGGAGGGGGTAAACTTACTTCGGCATTGCTGACGGTCGCAATTTCTTTACAACCCTCAATTAACCATTGATCAGAACTCTGAAAAGGATTGTTTGGTATAGTCAGCACAAAACTATTGATTGTAAGTGTGCAACGGGTTTCCCCGTTTCAATATCTCAAGGCTCTTCCTATAGGAATTTCCGTGTTTCAAGACACTATACTGCAGTGGTTTCCAAACTCTTAGTCTCTGTCGCTCGCCTGAAACACAAACATATATATATATATATATATATATATATATATATATATATATATATATATATATATATATTGTTATGTTCAGCTTTCCATTTCATAGTGGAACAAGGTATAACACAATTTAAAACACAGTCCAAATGTAATAATCCAATATAATTTTCAACTTCTACAGGGGAACACTGAACATGGTACACAAAAACATTCCCTACTTCACTCGCTCTACACCACACACCGCTGACACACACAGTTCACACACTTCTTCTCTCACTTGCACACCACTACAAGGGGAGGCCACTCTCACACACACTTTATATAAACAAATACATCACACCTCCCCCCTTAAAAAAAATAGATTTCTTCTTTTCATTTGGTGAAATCTTTTTACAGTAGTTACCCTTTCCGGGGTTATATGAAATGAGAAATGTTGAAGAAATCTATTACATGATGATAACTGAAAGCTAGAAGCTATTCCTATACTACAGCTTCGTATCTCATTCTACTTTTGGAATAGTAGGCCATCCAACTCTCTTAGGTATTGTTTTAGCCTGCGTTTCCTTTTTGGCTTCTCTCCGTCAAACCAAGAACTACCTACAAGACAGCACTTCTAAGGTGTATCTTGCACAACTATTTAACATATACTGCAAAATTTTTAATACAATTCATCAGAACATTTAACACCGAGACAAGGCATCAGCCACGACATTGTGTAGCCCCTTTATGTGCTTAATGTCCAATTGATATTCTTGTAAAAATAAACTCCACCGGAGTAACCTCTGGTTTTTTGTGCTCATCTTGTTGAGGAATGTCAGGGGGTTGTGGTCCGTTAACACCAGGATTGGTTGAGCCGAACAACTGATATAAAAATCCCATTGCTGCAACGCCAGGATTATGCCCAAACATTCTTTTTCAACCGTTGAATAATTGGCTTGGTGCTTATTAAATTTCTTCGAGAAATAACAAATCGGATGCTCCACTTCTTCTCCGTCTAACTGGGATATGACAGCTCCGACACCGGAATCGCTGGCGTCCACAGCTATTCGGAATTGACGTTTAAAATCTGGGGTTACCAATACCGGGGAGCCAGTTAGCATGGTTTTAATCCTCACAAAGGCTTCTTCGCATTCTGGTGACCAAATAAACTTGGCGTTTTTTCTGAGAAGGTTGGTTAAGGGGGCGGCTATCACTGAAAATTGTTCACAGAATTTCCTATAATACCCTGCCATCCCCAGAAACCTCATTAACTGCTTTTTATCATTGGGAGGTGAAATAGCCTGAATAGCCTCTATCTTAGCAGCGATCGGTTTCACTTGTCCTTGTCCGACGACATGACCAAGATATTCGACTGTGGCATGGCAAAATTCACTCTTGTTCAGGTTAACTGTTAACCCGGCCTCGTCTAGTTTATTAAACAGAGCTCGTATTTGTTTCACGTGGCTCACGAAATCATTGCTGTAGACTATGATGTCATCTATGTACGCACTTGAATTTTCTAAGTCTGTGATGAGGCTATTGATGAGGCGTTGGAATGTTGCCGGAGCGTTTTTCATACCAAAGGGCATTACTTTGTACTGGTATAGTCCGTCAGGAGTAGCAAACGCAGATATTTCCTTGGCTCGATCGGATAGGGGAATCTGCCAATACCCCGACAACATGTCTATCTTGGTGACATAACGGGCATTCCCCATGCGATCTATCAAGTCATCTATCCTAGGAATTGGGAACGAATCAGCTTTAGTGACCGCATTCACTTTCCTAAAGTCGGTACAGAACCGATAACTTCCGTCGGGTTTAGGTACTAGAACACAAGGGGAACTCCAATTACTTTTGCTATGTTCAATAATATCGTTTTCCAGCATATACTTCACTTCTGTTCTCATTATCTCCAACTTTATTGGGTTTACCCTATATGGATGTTGTTTAACAGGAGATGCTGACCCAATATCTACGTCATGAGCAATGAGGTTGGTCTTGTTTGGAATGTCAGGAAATAAAGTGGCAAAATCTCTAATTCCGGACGTAACAGCTTCTTGTTGGTCAGTGGAAAGATGTGAAAGTTTGGCTGGTAAATTGGACAAGATCTCTGAATTTTTTAATTTATATTGTCCTGCCTTTTCTGTAGGGATCTCATCCTCAGGATCACAAAAGTTTATCATAGCGACAGTCTTCACTGGGGCTGGTTGGCTTTCTTCTCTCTTAAAATATTTCTTTAACATATTGACATGGCACAATTGTCTCTTCTTCTTCCTGTCGGGGGTCTTTATCACATAATTCAAGTCATCGTTCTTGGATTCGACCTCATATGGGCCGAAATATCTGGCTTGTAGTGTCTGACCTGGTATGGGGAGAAACACCAATACCTCATCCCCCGGTGAAAACGAACGGGCTTTCGCCCTCCTATCATACCATGTTTTCATTTTATGCTGTGATTGTTTCAAGTGAGATCGGGCCAGTTGACAGGCGTCACTTAGTTGATTCTTGAATCGAAGGACGTAATCTAGAAGACATTCGGTTGGGGTCGAAGACATCCACATATCCTTAAGTGATTTCAGTGGACCTCGAACCGTATGGCCAAACACCAGTTCGAAAGGACTAAATCCCAGAGATTCCTGTACCGCCTCTCGGGAAGCAAACAGCAGCATGGGAATTCCTTCGTCCCAGTCTCTTTCGTTGTCATAACAGTATGTACGGATCATGTTTTTCAGTGTTTGGTGGAATCGTTCTAGGGCACCCTGAGATTCTGGATGATAAGCACTCGACATACACTGTTTTACTCCCAATTGTTTCATCACTTGTTTGAACAATCTGGCAGTAAAATTGGTTCCCTGATCGGATTGCACCTCTCTGGGTAGACCAAACACTGTAAAAAATTTGATTAACGCTTTCACAATGTTTGGAGTTTTAATTTTCCGGAGAGGAACAGCTTCTGGAAATCTGGTCGCAGCGCACATTATGGTCAACAAGTATTGATGGCCAGATTTGGTCTTGGGTAGTGGTCCTACACAGTCGATGATAATCCGACTGAAAGGTTCTTCGAAGGCCGGAACCGGATGTAGAGGAGCAGGTGGTATCGTTTGATTTGGTTTTCCAATTAATTGACACGTGTGGCATGTTCGACAATATTCGGCCACATCTTTTCTCAATTGTGGCCAAAAGAAATGTGACGCTATCCTTTGATACGTCTTTTTTACTCCTAGATGGCCTGAAAGAGGCGTATCGTGTGCCAAGGTCAAAATGTCTCTTCGGAACTTGGTCGGAACGACAATTTGATGGAGGACTCTCCACTCTTCGTCTACCGATGCCTCGGGGGGTCTCCATCTTCTCATGAGCATTCCGTCTTTCAAATAATACACACACGGGCCCGGTTCAGTCTCTTCCAACGGCTGGGCATTCTCGCGGAGTTCGGATAACTCCACATCCTTGGTCTGTTCTTCAATTAAATATTCTTTTGTGGGTTTTCCCCCTTCGTCTTGTCGTTGATATAAACTGGCGAGGAATGTATCCGCCAATTCTACCTCAGTGTCATCTCTTTTTCCAACGGAAGTCGGTTCTTGGTATGTTTTTGAACTCATGGCTCTGGTAACGGCGCCCACTGTGTTTACCTCCAAGTCATCATCTAGCGGTGTTCGTTGGTTAGAGAATGGAGTGGAATGTAGGTTGGCGAACACTTTTATGTCGGCCAGGTCATTGCCCAACAACAGCGAGATGCCTTCTACTGGAAATTCAGATTGGACCCCGACAATCACAGGTCCACTGACGAGATCTGACTTGATATCGATGTGGTGGAGGGTCACACGATTTACCCCCTGTCCTATTCCATGGATCAGCGCACAATCTCCGGTCTCCGTAGTTGCCGATAGGGGTAGGACTCCCTCCAGTATTAATGACTGAGCCGCACCAGTATCTCTCAGGATACGGATGGGTCGCCACTTAGTCGACTCGCCGGGTAGTGATACAAATCCTTCCGAAACAAAAGGACCAAATTCTTGCCAGGAGGTTTTCTGCATTCTGGCCATGGGTGCACTAGCTCCCCTCAGGTCTTTCTCACTGAGACTCTCGGTGTTCTCATCTGCAACTTCACTGACACATTTAAAGTTCACCTCTTTTCTTGCTGAAAGTTCAGTCTCTGTTTGTATTTTCGATAACTCTGATCGACCATCTGCTGACTGCCCAACTTTTCTGCTGGGTTTGACGGGTGTGGGCCAATAGATTCTCGTCGGATACGATGTAGCACAGGCAACAACTTTACTCTCCTTTTTATCACTTCTTGAGTTAAGTCTCCAACAATCATTTCGTGTGTGCCCTTGTCTATTACAATAGGTGCACGCCTCTCGTTTTTTAACCTCACTTCTCCAAGAGGTTTGACCTCTTGGTGACATCTCTATGTCACTTTCCTTTCTTCTATCATCTAGTTCTCTGACTGATGTCATTTCGGCGAATTGATGCGTGATGAGATAGTCATCCGCCAACACTGCCGCTTTGTGCACATCATCTTCTCTTCGGTCCGCTATGTGAGTGCGGACATCTTGCCGCACGCAGCTTTGGAATTCTTCCATTAATATTAGATTTTTTAATTTTTCAAAACTGGTACCCACCTCTTTGGATGTGATCCATTTTTCTAGCAGTCGCTCTTTTTCTCTTACGAATTCTACATGTGTTTGTTCCTGTTTCTTCAAGTCGCGAAACCTTCTTCGATACGCCTCAGGCACCAATTCGTAGGCTTTCAAAATCAAGGATTTCACCAAGTGATAGTCCCTTTGTTGTTCTCGGGTCAGCGAGGTGAACACCTCAGCGGCTCTCCCAGTTAGTGCCGGTTGTATCATCATTGGCCAGCATTGTTCTGGGAAGTTATAATTGTACGCTGTTATTTCGAATTGCGTAAAATATTGGTCAATATTTTTTTCTTCAAACTTGGGGACTAATTTGGCATATTTAACTGCCTCGAAATTCTGGTTATCTTCCCTTTGTGAATTACATTCTCTCTCTAGCCTTGCCAACTGTATTTCCTTATCGGCCTCAATTTGTTTTATTTCTTTCTCTATTTCTTTTTCTTTCAGTTCTCTATCCTTCATTTCCAACTCTTTCGCTATTCTCATCCTTTCCAGTTCCCTCTGTGCATCAATTTCCATCTGTTTCAGTTTTACTTGTATCTCGTCATCTATTTTCTTTCTGACGCTGACCGTCCGCTTTCTCTCTGCCATTTTCTTTTTGTCTAGGGGTCAAAACTTGTCAAAAATCTTGTTGTTTCAAATCCCGGACTTAAGCCCTCACTTGTTATGTTCAGCTTTCCATTTCATAGTGGAACAAGGTATAACACAATTTAAAACACAGTCCAAATGTAATAATCCAATATAATTTTCAACTTCTACAGGGGAACACTGAACATGGTACACAAAAACATTCCCTACTTCACTCGCTCTACACCACACACCGCTGGCACACACAGTTCACACACTTCTTCTCTCACTTGCACACCACTACAAGGGGAGGCCACTCTCACACACACTTTATATAAACAAATACATCACAATATATATATATATATATATATATATATATATATATATATATATATATATATATATATATATATGCCTATTTACATTTAGATACCTAAATCTATTGTATAATCTGCCACACTTTTTGGTGCCTTCTCAATGGCTAGCTCAAACCTCCCAGCTAGGGAACCACTGCTTTATTGTTTTTCATGCCGTCTGTTCAGGGTTGTTCAGTTACACCTGACTTAATTCTAATGGGCCCCCCCCCCCAGTTCGCCTTAAATAGGGCCAACAATTAGATTCAATACCGTTGGCGTAGTGATAGGGCCAAAAATAAAATTCAGCGCAGTAGGTGTTGAAGATTTTCCGGGAAAAGTCAGTTTGACGCAATGATAATGTGTGTTTTATTTGTCAGGCCGTAGGTACACCGCAGGGGGAGATATCCCAATCCTTATAAGGCACTTTTATATACACTGAAAGAGGATTAGTCGATAGTTCCACAGGCACCCGAACGTCACATTCCTGGTGTAGTCTTGAATAGAAAATCTAAGCCATGTAAAAAAAAAATGTCAACTCATTTAACTCCGCATTCTATGCAAAGAAAAATGATCTCAGCGATACAGAATACAGGGGTTAAATCATAATCTGCCATACATACAACAAGTCTCATAACATTTTCGTCATGATGGTGTGTTCACATGACAACATGATGGTGTCTATGGTCAAATGACAACATCATGGTGTCTATGGTCAAATGACAACATGATGGTGTCTATAGTCACATGACAACATGATGGTGTCTATGGTCAAATGACAACATGATGGTGTCTATGGTCTCATGACAACATGATGGTGTCTATAGTCACATGACAACATGATGGTGTGTATGTTCGCATGACAACATGATGGTGTCTATGGTCACATGACAACATGATGGTGTCTATGGTCACATGACAACATGATGGTGTGTATGGTCCCATGACTACATGATGGTGTCTATGGTCAAATTACAACATGATGGTGTCTATGGTCACATGACAACATGATGGTGTCTATGGTCACATCACAACAAGATGGTGTCTATGGTCACAAGACAAAAAAATAGCGTCAGAGGACATCCGACTATAGTTTTTCGTCTGGTCTCTCTCTCTCATCACCTATTCCTTAACCAGCTGCAGGTATTTCCCGGTCAACGCCTGTCTGGCACCTGTGTGCAGCATGCACGGCCTGGCTGTCACAACAGTCGAGGGCATCGGCAGTGTGAGCACAGCTTTACACCCAGTACAGGTAACATCTTTACACCCAGTACAGGTAACATACAGTACAGGTAACATCTTTACATCCAGTACAGGTAACTTCTTTACACCCAGTACAAGTAACATCTTTACACCCAGTACAGGTAACATCTTTACACACATACAGGTAACATCTTTACATCCAGTACAGGTAACTTCTTTACACCCAGTACAAGTAACATCTTTACACCCAGTACAGGTAACATCTTTACACACATACAGGTAACATCTTTACACCCAGTACAGGTAACATCTTTACACCTAGTACAGGTAACATCTTTACACACAGCACAGGTAACATCTTTACACCCAGTACAGGTAACATCTTTACACCCAGTACAGGTAACATCTTTACACCCAGTACAGGTAACATCTTTACACCCAGTACAGGTAACATCTTTACACCCAGTACAGGTAACATCTTTACACCCAGTACAGGTAACATCTTTACACCCAGTACAGGTAACATCTTTACACACAGTACAGGTAACATCTTTACACCCAGTACAGGTAACATCTTTACACCCAGTACAGGTAACATCTTTACACCCAGTACAGGTAACATCTTTACACCCAGTACAGGTAACATCTTTACACCCAGTACAGGTAACATCTTTACACCCAGTACAGGTAACATCTTTACACCCAGTACAGGTAACATCTTTACACCCAGTACAGGTAACATCTTTACACCCAGTACAGGTAACATATTTACACCCAGTACAGGTAACATCTTTACACCCAGTACAGGTGACATCTTTACACCCAGTACAGGTAACATCTTTACACCCAGTACAGGTAACATCTTTACACACAGTACAGGTAACATCTTTACACACAGTACAGGTAACATCTTTACACCCAGTACAGGTAACATCTCTACACCCAGTACAGCCTTTACACCCAGTACAGGTAACATCTTTACACACAGTACAGGTAACATCTTTACACACAGAACAGGTAACATCTTTACACCCAGTACAGGTAACATCTTTACACCCAGTACAGGTAACATCTTTACACCCAGTACAGGTAACATCTTTACACCCAGTACAGGTAATACCTTTACACCCAGTACATGTAACATCTTTACACCCAGTACATGTAACATCTTTACACCCAGTAAAGGTAACATCTTTACACCCAGTACAGTTAGTTAGAACAACAGTGTGAAAGATTTTGTGTTAGGGCTAAACCTTGATACAATTGGATTAATATACCAAGTTAACAATGCTAAACTTGTGACGATAGGGTTAAACTACTAAGTTGACGTGACGTTTTCAGAGCGTGCTGGCAGAGCACCACGGGTCCCAGTGTGGCTTCTGTACCCCCGGGATCGTCATGTCCATGTACACACTTCTACAGAGCGACCGGCAGCCGGCTAGCTCCGAAATACAAGAGCACTTTGATGGTAAGTAACCAAACCGGCAGCCGGCTAATTTAGAAATACACGTGCACTTTGATGATGAATTAAACCGGCAGCCGGCTAGCTCTGAAATACAGGACTAGTTTGAGTTACAAAACCGGATGCCTTGGTCGGATGGTGGAGCCCTCGACTATTGACCCGAAGGTATCCTGGGCTTGAGTTCAATCAGCTCTTATGGGTACCTGATTCAAGCTTGGGAAAATGGAGGCGGCTGGCCACCATGGTGCTGACCACATTGCCCCCTTATATGCCGAGGCCACAGCCACATCGGTATCAGGGATCGACTTTAAAGTGTCACTTTACTACAACATAACCGGCAGTCGGCTAGCTTAGAAATACGTCACTTTACTACAACATAACCGGCAGCCGGCTAGCTTAGAAATACGTCACTTTACTACAACATAACCGGCAGCCGGCTAGCTTAGAAATACGTCACTTTACTACAACATAACCGGCAGCCGGCTAGCTTAGAAATACGTCACTTTACTACAACATAACCGGCAGCCGGCTAGCTTAGAAATACGTCACTTTACTACAACATAACCGGCAGCCGGCTAGCTTAGAAATACGTCACTTTACTACAACATAACCGGCAGACGGCTAGCTTAGAAATACGTCACTTTACTACAACATAACCGGCAGCCGGCTAGCTTAGAAATACGTCACTTTACTACAACATAACCGGCAGACGGCTAGCTTAGAAATACGTCACTTTACTACAACATAACCGGCAGCCGGCTCGCTTAGAAATACGTCACTTTACTACAACATAATCGGCAGCCGGCTAGCTTAGAAATACGTCACTTTACTACAACATAACCGGCAGCCGGCTAGCTTAGGGGTACAGAGGCTGTGTGTTTCACGGGGCCGTGTTGACGGGGGGTCATTTTATCTGGGGTCTTTTCGATGGGGTCAGTGGCCGTTTGGTCGGGTGAGTTTAGTCGCTGGTCGTTTTGGCTCTCTCGAGGACACTACTAATGGTGAAGGGGGGGGTGGAGTGGTGGATGTGGGTCACGGTTTTAACACAGAGGCCAATACCTCTGTGAGGTTAGTTAGTAGACATATCAAGTTATTATAAAGTAACGCTTGGCCTCTGAGAAAGCAGGAAGCAACATGAGACTAATAAGGCTGTTAGAGAACATTTTACAAATATTCTAAAGCTCTGATCTCTACTTACAAGCGTTTTTAAAATTGTGTATGCTTCTTATTAAATTAATAGAAGACTTTAAAGTATCCTGTTACTATTAAAAAATAGCTGTTACATGGAATCTTAGAGAAAACAAAACTGTTAACATGTTGGCTAATGTTTTTGTTTTAATTAAATCAACTTTAGGTAACTTATGCAGGTGTACTGGGTACCGTCCCATTTTACAAGCCTACAACACATTTGCGGTTAGTTCCCTTCCTTGTTTGAATGTTCATTCTTAAAATAAAAATAGTACATCCTTGTCTTTCTTTTGTGCCTACGACTTAAATTTTTAAACAACGTAAAATTATTAATTGATTTCTCAGTTTGAGGTTATTATTATTATAAAACATGACAACTGAACAGTTTGCTTAAATATTGTATATTTTATTTTAAATTATTTTGTACATTCGTCATGGCGTCATGTTTAATGTGCAAACAGTGACGTCAGAACGTCGGGTAGACTAGAATGTCACCCAGCAGCCCCCCCCCCCCCCAAATTAAAAAAAAGCCCTAACAATTTTGCATAATTTCGTTGAGGTGCCATTCCCTTTCTTCCACCGCACAGTGTGGGGGGGGGGGGCGCAAAAGTCTCCGGGGGGCGAACAATGTTAAAAGTTATATATGTTCTATATAAATTCCATTTCGTTCGGCGGTGGGGGGGGGGGGTAGAATTTATTCCCCCCCCCCCCCCTTTTCCACCCTGATCCCCGTAGATATGCCTGGAAGAAACACAAGAAACATGCACCGCATTATAAATTTTATGTGGCTTAACTTTTTTTTTGTGAGTACAGTTTTTTTTTTTGGTGTTACCCGCTTTGAAACACATGAACCTCCCCCCCCCTCCCACTTGTGAAGCTGGTGTGTACACATTTTATATTAAGAACCAGATTAAAATTGCCAGTTAACGATACCGCTTAATGTAGAAAAAAAAATGTTTTCGGTTTTCTTCAGGCAAAAGAAGAATGTTCTGGGACCTGTGAATTTTGCCCAAAGAAAGGAATCTTCAACGACATTGTAAAAAAAAATCTTTTCTTTTTTAATATTTTTTTTTTAAACTGATAGATTGCAAAACAATTTTCATTGTTTCTTACATTCGTCACTAAATGAATTAGCTACAGAAGGGTATAATATATAAACTGTAGGTAATTAAATAAAATACGTGTTTTTCTGTAAAAATACAAAATATTTTTTTTTCTTGCCAGGAAGATCATCCATGTAAAAACTCAACGGCTGCTGGTGAAACACAAAAAAGTTTTCTCTCTCAAGACAAAAAGGTAGTTAACCTATTTTTAAAATTACATTCAAGGGAAGCAATTTTATTACTTTTAACAAGAATATATTTAACTATAATTTTTATCATCTTTTTGTGACATTATTTAATATAAGCAATGAAACAAATATTTTAAAAAATGATAAATTAGGTTATGTATTTTATATGGTATCAAACTCTAAATTGTAATATTTAAATTTAATATTTGTTATCTTCACCCCATACCGTTTGACTTAACATTAAAATTTATTTTTCAACTCTGTGTATATTAGTTCATTATCTGACGATGAATGAACAGTTGAATTTAATTGAACATCTTTATATATAATTCTCTTCTGGGAGACGTTAGAAAACATGCTGTAAGCGCGCTCCCTACCACTCCACCCCTACATGGTATTGTCAGCTGTGGTTCACGCTAAATGTTTAGATTCGTAGAGCCGGGTTTAGTGACGGCTATTAGGGGCAGATAATTTAGTTTGAAACGATTTTAAACTTCGGGGAGGCAACTAAAAGGAGGCAGCTTTCACGAGGGGGGGGGTGTAGAGTAGGGGTTGGGGGAAAGGAGGGTGGGGTAGTATCGTCCTTAACGACCTACTGATAGTGTTTTAAAGCAAATAATTTCAGTGGCAGCATTGGCACTTTCGAATTCACAACTTATGAATTACTGAAAAGTAGAAAATAAAACAACTAAATAGCGGCGTATGATATGCCGCGGGTCGGCTCGTATTGATTAATGGTGACACGTAACCACATTTGATTTTGGCCTTAAAACATGGGCCGGTTGCCTGCTGCTCGCAAACCGCCTGCGGCTCCTTTACTGTAAGGCCAGTTAAATAATAATTATATATTTTTTCATAACTCATAAAAAATATTATACTCTTAAAACAACTTTAAACAAGATAAAAACACTACGAATTTGTGGAGCAGTGAGTAGAGCATACACACACAGCTGACAAAAGGTCCAGCCTCACAACTGTGCTGTGGTCAGCCCCGTGGCGGTGGTTCCATGCTTTCCGCTACCGAAGTGCACATTTTTTTTTCCGAATATTTTCAATAGTAATTGTTTTTTTTTTAAATTCAGTTGGCTTTTTTTATGAGTCATTGTGCATTAATTTTACTTGAGTGTCATAGATTTTTAGTTATTAGCTTCTAAATTGGGTAGGGATAGTCTATATTTATATAATTTGATTTTATTATCCTAGCAGAGCTAGCTAAAATACTTTATGTGTAAGGGGAGAACCGAGAGGTGATCTAATTCACTCATCCGTGCGCCTTTTTTGGAACAAAGGGGTTTGCTAAACCTAAACAAACCAAACTAGACTAGGTAAATAAAAATCAAAGTCAAGAGTAACTACGATATACGTTATTTGATCGTTAGAAACCCCGCCAAAAAATGTAAACTAAAAGATCAAAACTCAACAAAAATTAAACCCCATATGTAGATACAAAAAAAAAAAAACTACAAAAAAATTCAGAAAAATATGACTACAAAAAATTGCTAAAAAATTGATAAAAACTGCTAAAAAACCACCGCTAAAAAACAACCGCTAAAAAACCCAGCCAAAATAGGCCGACTACTATCAACACTGTAACAAACAAACAAACAATATCATAAGAACATGTCTACTTCAATATTCACTACATTAATATAACCTGCACAATACAACTATGGTTTTCTATAAGGCTAAATGACAACTATCCTAGTTGACTTACAAAAAGAAAAATGTCTCTTACTTACGTTTCGAGAATTTGACCTCACAAAAAAAAATATCTTCAGGTTCCTAATTGTACACAATGTTGGCTTCCGAAATTCTTGAAACAAAATAGATCCTATCTTCAAACCTAAATTTTATTATCTAAACTAGTTATATGTTTTTATATCAATAAATATTATTTCATACTTAAACCCATTTATTTTAAATGTATTTACCTAATCCTACTTAAATTCAACATGTGGACGTCATAAACGGATGACCCCCCCCCCCCCCAAATTATACACATTAAAGTTTAGAAAAGAGACAACTACTTGGCTGTACAGACTAATTGCTACATTAATTGTGTTACACTAAAATAAACATTAAAAAAACACACCCGCAACCTTTTCAAATGTGGAAGGGTGGGGGAGGGGGGGGGGGCATTTAGATGCCACATTTAGTACCTGAACGCAGAGGCGTAGCGAGGGGGGGGTGAACGGGGGGGACATATGTCCCCGGGCGCCAAAAATGAGTTGGAAAAACAATTGAAGTTTGGGGGGGGGGGGCTGGGGAATTGAAAGTTTGAGGGAAGGGGGTGTAAAACGAAAGTTTGAGGGAGGGGGGTGCAAATCGAAAGTTTTTCTCCGGGCGCCGGGAAGGGTCGCTACGCCTCTGCCTGAACGACTTGTTTAGTGATTTTAAATTGTGTTGCTTAAGTGAAAGAATAAGCCAAAGCTGTGTAGGGTTTAAATCAAATAAAAAGATGTTTCAAAAAGTAATTGAACTGTTCATATTTTATATATACCGATTAAAATTTGCTTCTCTCAAACAGCAATTGATTAACAAGCTCGATCAGGAGAATCTGGAGTTTTGTTCACCAAGCACAAGATGGTTTTCTCCAACCTCTCTGGGAGGTCTGCTGGAGATCAGGAGAAAGTACAGAGACTGTAAACTGGTGAATGGGAATACGGAAGTTGGTGAGTTGGTTGTCTAGTGGACAGGTGTTCTGGTGATTGTCTAGGGGAGAGGTGTGCTGGTGAGTTGGTTGTCTAGTGGACAGGTATTCTGGTGATTGTCTAGGGGAGAGGTGTGCTGGTGAGTTGGTTGTCTAGTGGACAGGTATTCTGGTGATTGTCTAGGGGAGAGGTGTGCTGGTGAGTTGGTTGTCTAGTGGACAGGTATTCTGGTGATTGTCTAGGGGACAGGTGTGCTGGTGAGTTGGTTGTCTAGTGGACAGGTATTCTGGTGATTGTCTAGGGGACAGGTATTCTGGTGATAGTCTAGGGGACAGGTATTCTGGTGAGTTGATTGTCTAGGGGACAGGTATTCTGGTGATAGTCTAGGGGACAGGTATTCTGGTAAATTGATTGTCTAAGGGACAGGTATTCTGGTGATTGTCTAGGGGACAGGTGTCCTGGTGAGTTGATTGTCTAGGGGACAGGTGTTCTGGTGAGTTGATTGTCTAGGGGACAGGTATTCTGGTGATAGTCTAGGGGACAGGTATTCTGGTAAATTGATTGTCTAAGGGACAGGTATTCTGTTGATTGTCTAGGGGACAGGTATTCTGGTGATTGTCTAGGGGACAGGTTAGCTGGTGTTTGTCTAGGGGACAGGTGTCCTGGTGAGTTGATTGTCTAGGGGACAGGTGTTCTGGTGAGTTGATTGTCTATGGGATAGGTGTGCTGGTGAGTTGATGGTATAGCTAGGGGACAGGTATTCTGTTGGGTTGATTGTTCTTGAGGGCAGGGCCGGCGCTACCTATAAGGCGAACTCGGCGGTCGCCTAGGGCGCCATCCCTAGGGGGGCGCAAAAGGTTTAATCGCTATTATAAAAAAGTACCTAATAATTAATAACTTTCATAAAGGAGTAGCGATCTATTTCCGCACCCAGGACGAACTATCAAAGTTTGCATCCCGACACCAAAATTAGGTCTATATAAGCCTATATTTATTCGCGATGGTTAAAACACAGCCCCACCTCCCTAATTTGGAAAGGTACAGGCGCTTTTTACCAGATACTTTGCTTTTTTACTTTGGTGTCACATAACTGATGTAAAAAACGATAAAATAAGTTCGTGATTTAAATTTCGAACATTCAATAGGGCTTGTAAGTCACGTTTTCTCTGACTTTGAATTAGATATCCGTTCTGGTCAGAGTTTCTTCCATCAAAGTCTACCGCCCCCCCCACCCCCGAACGGAATGGAATTTATATAGAAACCATACTTTTACCAGTGTCCCCGCCTTCCCCCCCCCCCCCCAAAAAAAAATAAATATCAAGTGTCCCCCCGGTCCCCCCCCCCCCCCCACCCCGAGAAAAAAGTCTGGAAGAAACAGTGGTCCTGGTGTATAGGGTTTTGTAATGACGGAGTGTTCAAAGTATCGTCACTTGTTTGGTAAGTTTTGATGACTCGTTTAGATTTGGGTGGGAGTAACGGCGGAAGGCTCTTGCTGATATGGTTTCGTATGTATAAAGTATCTAAGTAGATCGTTTTTTTTTGTTTGGCTGTTGTGTAGTTGAAGAATATGATTGGTAGTAGAGAATTGAGAACGCAGGTGATGAAGTATGGTAGTTCTGGAATTCCGGAGTATTGATTCTTGTGGTATTAAGGTATCGAATTATATTGACTGTTAAAGTGTAGTAGTAGGTCCAGTGAAATCATTGTTGATTGGGAGTATCGTTTGTAAAGCTTGGTGAAGTAAACGAGTTGGTGTCATAGTTCAGGAGCATCGAGTCTAGTTATGTTTAGGTATTGAAGTTTGATATGTGTTGTGAATGTAGTAAAGTATATCGAGTAGTGGAGTTTATCGTAAGTTAAATTATTTAAATTCAGGACGGAACAATCTACAAAGAAAGGTAGGCGTTCTCTAGTTGAAAAATCTTTAGTTTTTTTTAGGAATCTACATTACCACTCTTAAAGTATTAATATTTATTAAATAGGATGGAATTTATAACAAACTGTAAATTGTTTATATTTTTTTTCAAATTATACTTTTTTTATTTAATTAATAATTCTAGCAATGTCTAAACAGTTGGCCGTCTTTGAGTTTTTGAAAGACATCCCTTTGTAAAAAAAAAACATTTTTTACAAAAGTTTAATGATGATGCGTATGCAACAAAACATGAAAATGAACATTATTTTTTTCTCTTTACAAGACATGTAAGGATGCATAAACAACATCAAATTAAGCTCAATAAAAATCAACATCAAACCATTAGCATGGAGCACATTGTAAAATAGAACAGTCAGTCAGCTTTTAAGTTATGTAAATTTGGGTTGCAACACCTAGAGATAAAATTGTCAGATCTAAAATACATTTTGATGATAGTGCGGTGCTAGAAAATATTGACTAGTCCAAGCTTATGCTTGTAAGTAAATTATTCCAGCATACACAGCTCTCCAACTATCTAAATAAGCTGGCTGTTTAATCTTATAAATAAAAAAATGTAGACACAATGCAATAACTGTCTTAGGCTAAATGTGGAACTGACACCTTGATCATATGGCAGAAACAAAGACCAAAGCTTGCATTCACTGTAAAAACCCAGCAAAAAAAAAATAGATGTGCTGCCATGAGACGTAACAAGTTAAAAATTATACTATACAATCTTAAAGAGTCCTAACAATTAACAAGCTAGAGATATCCAACTAGGGACCAACCCCACCAAATCTTGTTTAGCTCCATTAATACATTCACAGTCTGTAGCAGAGTTTCTTCCAGTTTTTTACCGCCACCCCGAACGAAATGAAATATATATAATTTATATAGAAAATATATACTTTTAACAGTGTCCGCCCCCCCCCCCCCGAAGAAAGTCTACCGCCCCCCCCCCCCCCGAAAATTTCAAGTGCCCCCCCGAAGAAAAAAGTCTGGAAGAAACACTGGTCTGTAGTCTCTTCGTTTTAAGGTATTGCAGAACTGTAATTGATCTTGCAAGAAACGCAATATTGATTACCCATTTGTAGGTTTATAAAACTGGCAACAATTTACAACTCAGTGTAACAAGACCATGTCCAGAAGATAGGTTACACAACCAGTGGCGTAGGCAGGGGGGGGGGGGGGTTAGGGGGGGGTCATCCCCCCCCATAGACCCCTCGGTATATATATAAAGTATGAGGGGGGTACAAATCGAAAGTTTGAGGGGGGGGGGGTGCAAATTGAAAGTTTGTCCCCGGGTAAAAAATTGGAACCCCCCCCCCCCCCCTTGAGACGATCCTTGCTACGCCACTGTACACAACAGTTCACAAGAATATAAAAGAAAAGAAAAAGCTGCCTTAACTTAAATGAAACACCATTCAGAGGTTAAGCATTTTATGGAGATTAAACCTACATTATTTGTTACTAAGCTTTTTGGAACTCAATTCTAATGTAGTACACTAATAAACTGAAATGACCACATATTAGTTACTACTACATTAAAAGTTACATAACTCAGAAAGTTAACTACTGGTATTAATAGTAAACCTAATACAATCAGCAAGAATTATATTTAGAGAAAAAAAGAGAACATTCTCCTGGACAATGGTAGGGTAAGACAATCTTTATCTCATCTTATAATTGAGTGAACAAGATGCTTCTGACAGCTCTCGAAGCAGCGGTTAGCTAGGATTTTTGGGCTCCTTTGCAAAAAGTGTTATTAGGCCCCTCAGAGGCGTAGCGACCCTTCCCGGCGACCGGGGACAAACTTTCGATTTGCACCCCCCCCCTCAGACTTTCGATTTGCACCCCCCCCCTCTCTCCTCAGACTTTCGATTTGCACCCCCCATCAGACTTTCGATTTGCACCCCCCACCCTCAGACTTTCGATTCGATTTGCACCCCCCCCCCCCTCAAGTCAATGCTCACTATGAAATCCAGATCTCTATTGTTCTGTTTATTTGGTGTCATGGTAAGGAATCCATCCACTTCCTCCCCTTTCTTGATTGTCAGGTCATTATCACCAAGATAGAAGACTGTTTTCAGTGTGTGTAAGGTGCACCAGGAGATGTGGAAAATCCAGTGCGCTTGTGACATTTTGTGAACTCAATATTGAAGAATGTAACCAATGCATGGAGATAGTCATTACGCCTGCGGGTCAAACAGAAAAGGGCAGTAAATGCAATATCACCCTCCTTTACTGTATAAATATCAACTTCCTTAACTAAAAAGAAATTAGTGACTACTTGTTTCGGGTCCACAACATCAACAAGTGGTTTCCTTTTTTTTTTTTTTTTAATCTTTAATTATTTAATGTGTCATAAATCAATACTTGGCTCTTTCACCTGGCTTTACTGTAAACTGGTTTCCAGATATTGTAAAATTCTGACCATGCAATGCAACACAAAAAATAGAATTCATTTTTGGTACATTCTTAATTTTATTATCAGGTGTAATTAGTTGAAACATGTTTCTGGTCTCTTTAATAACAATCCCATGCACTCCTATAAAACTTGGGCATTTTGATTTCCTAACAGTAAGGTGACAACCATGCAGATCCGCCTTCATCATTTTTTGAGCTGCAGAAGTTTGGAAATTTGAAGATGTCATTTTTGAGAATTGTATTAAGTCTTCCATGTATTTTATCCATAACTCATTTAAAGGCAAGAAAGAACTTAATTTGATATCAGTAATTATTTCAGGTGTAAACAGCATTTTCTTCTTTGATAAAGTTTTTTTCCTATTTAGCCTTGGAACTGATTTCTTCTTCACTCCCTTTGATCCAATGTATTCATACTTGGAGCTCATGTCACTTTCCTTGTTTTTTAATCTTGCTGAAGGCAGATGTTCATTTTTAAATGAGGACACCCACTGTTTGCTCTCATGTTTCCCCTTTGGATGAGAGAGTTTAGATCATGTGAGCTCAGTGTACCATAAGCTTCAGCATTTTTTATATCCATTTAGCTGAGGTCTTGTTAGGTTGCAATAAACTTGCACATGCAAGAACTTTAGTAAGAATAGTCAGTTTATATTTTGTTTTTATGGATCCAAAATTAGAATCGTTATGCGACCAGGGAATTACAGGAAAATAAATGTCATCAAAATTGAATAGAAGTATATTATAATAAAGCTACCGTTTATAGACTTTCAAACAAAACCTACAGTTAAGTATTCAATTCGTAAAATATATTGATTTTACAAGGTTACATAGTTAATATAAAAGATTTGTCATAATTATTACGTAATGAAATTTTGAGCGTCTTATTGTGTTTTTAAAATATGTCTTAGTAACACTTGGTTAATTTAGCAATTCTTGGAAAGTCATTTCCCTTGAATAAAACTTTGTTATTAGGATTTTCAAATGGGAGATAATTCGTTGCTTAACTTTACATTCATTTCAAATTCCTGCACCTTTGGTTGACCGCTTACATATAAATACAACTTTAAGTTATTATTTGCTATTGTAAAAATTATATAGAGCTTAAATAATAAATTTTAAACAAAATAGTTAGGTAGGTATTTTTAGCATTATCAAGTTGAAAAACAAATACATCAGTAGCCGTTGTAGACTGCAATACTTAATGTTAGTAGACTTACAGTCTTAGTAGTAAATTAAACATATAATTAATTGTCTTATCTAACGGATTCATATATAACAATTTTAGGCTGGAATCTCTAACATTTATAACCTTTTATTTTTGAAAAAAAAAATCGTTACATAATCACACAATATAGACATTTTACAATTATAACTAAAGACAGTCAAGCTTAAAACAGGTAAGTTCCGTTTTGGAACTCACCTTGGGAGGATTGCAGAGAGTCCAGGGAGAACTTACAATTTTCTAAGGGTTGGGGGGGGGGGGGGGGGGCTATGTCGTAAAGTACAAAATAGACGTGGACAATTTTAATACATTTCAATAAAATGTGATTATGCTTGCAAACTGGAATTGAAGGAATTAGTACAAACTTTTGAGACGAAGGAGGCAAGTAAAATTTGATTTTGATGTCTACTTATAACGTGTATGCAATTGATAATAAATTAATATGTCACTTTTAAGGAATTGTTTTCTTATACATATGTTTTAGTAATTAATTTGTGTAAGAGGGGGCGTTTAAAAAAGTTTTGCCTAGGGCGCTAAATAACCTGGCGCCGGCACTGCTTGAGGGACAGGTATGCTGGTGAGTTGATTGTCTGGGGGACTAAATGTTTAATTCAATAAATTTGAATTTCAAGAAAAAATTTATTTTTTTATTTTTTTTAAAACTCTTGCATATAGTACTAAATTACCTATTTTTATAATTTTTTAAAGAAATTGAAGTTAAGTTCAAAAAGGCCAATTACCAAACACTGGTGTCCGTCACTAGGATCAATCAATTAAAGCAAGTGAGTGTCCACATGTAATTTTTAGCACAATTTTAAATATTAGTTCCATTACAAATTTCAATAAGGCTATAAATAAACTTCCTGCTTTTTATATGCTGGGTGAACTCAGATCTAGGTTTTAAACATATCCTTAAAGAGATGGTTAATTGGTCAAAGTTCATCTGTTTCTTTATTGACAGTGTATGAAGAAATTGTGTAATCAGCACCACACCCAGTTGAGAGATATAGATACTTGTTAAACACAAATTCTTACTAACATGATTCCAATATTTAAATAGGTTTAAAAAAACTTGTTGTTTTAAATCTCCAAATATTTTGACGTGATTGAAACTGCATCATAGATACTAGATGTAGATAGGCTTACATACTTTCAGGTAATTAGAACAGAATCAGGAATTGAGATTGGGGCGTCTCTACCTTTAAGTCAAGTGAAAAAATGTTTTGAAGAAGACATCCGGCAGCTCCCAGGTGAGTAAAGTAGGCTCCGCAAACTTTCTTTTCGGAATGTTGAAATGTTATTTAAAAACTTTCTTTTTTCGGAAGGTTGAAATGTTTTTTAAAACCTTTTATTACATAATGTTGAAATGTTTTTTAAAACTTTCTTTTCGAAATGTTGAAATATTTTTAAAAGCTTTTTACAAAACTTAATGTAAAATATCTTTAAACAGGAAAATATCAGTAATATTATTTAGCTAAAGAAATAATTTAAAAAAAAATGTTTTAATATCTGAAAGAAGATCAGTTTTCTTACACTTATTGCTAGTGATACTCAACTTCATTTTTGATAATAAGAAAAATTGTTTTTACTCTAATTGAAACATATAATCAACTTTGCGTTTATTGAGATGTTTATTATTGATCAAGTGAAATGACTGAATGAAAATTTTGAGCTTTGATATTCACAGAGTATAAAACAAGGGCGTTAACTGCTATTGTAGAGATGCTCAAATGGTTTGCTGGGCACCAGATAAGATCAGTTGCAGTTAGTTAATTTTTTTGTCACTTTTTGCTCAATTTTATTTTTCATATTTTAGTCAATGTTTTAGTCTAAGAAAGTCCAACTTATAACCTCACAAAGTTGTCCAATTAAAACATATAGGCTTTAAATATTAGTTTCATCTATTAAATATTTCCTAAAAAATGAAAACCGCTTACAACTGTAAACTTTTAATCAAGATCTAACAGCTTCACAAATTTTTTGACAGTGTTTGGCTGGTAATATCATGACAGCTAGTCCCATCTCAGACTTGAACCCACTCCTTCTGGCTTGTAGGGCCATGTTAAAGTACCTGGACCTGGGTAAGTGGGAATGGCTTGGGTAAGTGTGAATGACCTGGGTAAGTGTGAATGACCTGTGTGGGTAAGTGTGAATGACTTGGGTAAGTGTGAATGACCTGGGAAAGTGTGAATGACCTGGGTAAGTGTGAATGTCCTGGGTAAGTGTGAATGACCTGGGTAAGTGTGAATGACTTGGTGAGTGTGAATGACCTGGGTAAGTGTGAATGACCTGGGTAAGTGTGAATGACCTGGATAAGTGTGAATGACCTGGGTAAGTGTGAATGTCCTGGGTAAGTGTGAATGACCTGGATAAGTGTGAATGACCTGGGTAAGTGTGAATGTCCTGGGTAAGTGTGAATGACCTGGATAAGTGTGAATGACTTGGGTAAGTGTGAATGTCCTGGATAAGTGTGAATGACTTGGGTAAGTGTGAATGACCTGGGTAAGTGTGAATGACTTGGGTAAGTGTGAATGACCTGGGTAAGTGTGAATGACCTTGGTGAGTGTGAATGACCTGGGTAAGTGTGAATGACTTGGGTAAGTGTGAATGACTTGGGTAAGTGTGAATGTCCTGGGTAAGTGTGAATGTCCTGGGTAAGTGTGAATGTCCTGGGTAAGTGTGAATGTCCTGGTGAGTGTGAATGACCTAGGTAAGTTTGAATGACCTTGGTAAGTGTGAATGACCTTGGTGAGTGTGAATGACATTGGTAAGTGTGAATGACCTTGGTAAGTGTGAATGACCTTGGTGAGTGTGAATGACCTGGTGATTGTGAATGACCTAGGTAAGTGTGAATGGCCTAGATTACTGTGACTGACCTAGATTACTGTGACCGACCAGAGTAGGTGATCTAGGCTAGTGTGAATGACTTGGGTAAGTGTCAAAGACTTTTGTATTAAGTACATCATCATTATGAAAATAATCAAGTTAAAGATTTCCAACTGAAATGTATTATGCTATTAAATAATTTAACAGTGGTAAAAATTCATGCCCATCTTTAAAAGTTCTCTTAAAATTTTTCAAGAAATTCATTTTATATTAACATAAATTGCTCATAAAAAACTAATTCTGATTAAACCAACTCTACTCTCTCATAATACACAATGGCTCACTAGTACTTTGCTGTACTATCTAGAATTGGCACAAACTTTTCCTTTGCGTTTTCTAATGCCAGTTTATTTAGATTTTAATTTAAGAAATTTTATCAGAAAACTTAAAATTTCTTAAACCTAAACATGATGAATTGCTTTGGTATGTCATAACTAATTCTTAATTAACATATGTGCTTTATTATTTAGCTTCTACTGCAATAACTGCTGTCTGAGATTAATGAATTTTTATTTGATTGTCACAGAGGGTACCACTAAAGAGATTTTCATGGATCAAAGTTTTTTCACTGGCTACAAGAAAACATGTCTGGAAGAAACTGACACTATAGTTAGCGTCCTCATCCCCTACACAACACAGGTTTGGTTTCTTGTTTTCTCTGACCAATCTTATTTTTTTAAGCATGTAAAACACAAAAAATTTAATAAAATATTATGCATTTATTTTTTTTAAAGCAACATAAAATGGTTAAATCTGCCTGCTAAAAATGTGCTTAGGTTTGATTTAGAATTTTAATACATCAAAAAACATAGCTTTGATTTTCAAATATTTTTCCAGTGTATGTTATTTTTGTAATTTTATAACATCCTTTCCACCTCTGCTCCGTTATAAAAGGCTCAACACATGTATGGCTATAAACAAGCCAATAGAAAGGAAGATGACATCTCTATAGTAAACGCTGGCATGTGGGTGGAGCTAGCTGACAACAAAATTCAGGAGATCCGCCTGGCTTTTGGTGGCATGCACTCTACAACACTGTTTGCCATAGACACAATGACTCACTTAAAAGGGAGGTAATAATCACTACATTTCAAGAATTCAATTTTTAGTGACTGAAATGGGAGCAAGTATTTTTTAGTCTAGTGTATTAAACTATTACCAAGGAGTAAAAGACTTGCATTGTTGTAGTGTTAAAATGTTATCTCATGTGAACAGTTGATAACTGTGATTCAGATTTGAACAAAACAATTAGGCCTTCATATTAATTTTATAGATTTTTTTGTATAATCTTCATGGTGCCATTTTAATTTACAGTCCAATAAAGGTTTCTAATGTTATTGGTGGAAATTTAAACTTAATGTTATAAGTTATTTTCTTATTTTTTAAGTGAATTTTTTAAAATGCTGTCTTATGTGTAATGTTTTAGAGCATGGGATGAATCAATAGTTATTGGTTAATTTTCTTATTTTTTAGTTAAAACTTTTAAACTGCTGTCTTAAGTGTAATGTTTTAGAGCATGGGATGAAGCAATTGTTATTGGTTAATTTTCTTACATTTTAGTGAAAATTTTTAAACTGCTGTCTCATGTGTAATGTTTTAGAGCATGGGATGAATCAATTCTGGAAACAGCCAAAGAGAAATTACCAGGGGATCTCAAACTTTCACCAGGAGCACCTGGAGGCATGGTGGCCTACAGGAGAACTCTGACCATCAGTTTCTTCCAGAAGTTTTACCTGGCAGTGACCGATGCATTACTACAACAGGTGAGCACTCATTGGAGAAATAATTTTTTTAATTTCATTTTTACTTAGTTCATTTGATTCTGTATGATTTTTTATTTTGTAACTACATAGTAAATAGGTAATATCATTTAATGATCTACATCATAAAGTGATACAATACAGGTTTAATTGCAGTGATTTTGGTTTGAATGTGGTTTGTGTGGTTAATGTGACTTTTGGGTTGATTTATCAGAATATGTAAAACAGACTAATTATTCATCAGATAGATAAAACAAAATAATTTAAGACCTCTGAATTGATAGTGAGACTTGCCAATGATTTGTTCGTTTAAATTTAGCTAAATAAGAGGAGGCCTATACAAATCAGGGTGGTTGTACTTACTTTTTTTATTTTTTTCGCAGAACCCGCAAAAACCAGTAAGGGAGATAATTAGTCATGGCAGCCAAGTTGTGTATGGGTTGCCGTTTACAGAACAGAGACACACTGGCCAAGTAGGACAACCCTTAGTTCATGTGTCAGCCAAAAAGCAAACAACAGGGGAGGCTATTTACGTTGACGATTTACCAGCCGTTGAAGGTTTACATATTTTATGGTCAAAGGGAAATAACCCATGTTTAATTTTCTTGAAAACATTAAGTAAGAGTTGCTGGTGCTGTTGAAGTGTGTAGTAACATTTGAAGAATGTAATTAAAGCTCTTTTCATAACATAATCTTTCCAGGCCAGTTGTACGCTGGGTTTGTGACTAGTACATCCGCTCACGCTAACGTCACCAATGTGGATGTGATTTCTGCACTAGCTACCCCTGGGGTGGTGGGCTACGTCTGCTACAAAGATGTACCTGGGAGCAATAACTGTGTCCTGGTTGATCCAGTCTTTGCACCTGACAAGGTAGAAATGTGCTCCCTATTAGCTGCAGAGCTAACAACTTTCAATTATAGGTTTACAGATTTATTGGTTTCTATGTCAGACTACTAACCTGAGAGTCTCGTGTTCGAATCAGTGGAACGTCCCTGAGTCCACCCAGCTCTGATGGGTACCTCACTTACGTTAGGGAAACAAAGGCAGCTGGGCATAGTGCTGACCAAACTATCCCCTCATATGCCGATGTCAATGAATCAGATGCACTCTACTTCATCTGCCCCATGTGTCTTGGGCAAAAACGGGAGAGGAGAGAAGAGAAGATGACGGATAATATCAAAAGATTTTTTTTAATTCTGATGATTCACACAGTTAAAACATTCATGATAATGAACCTGAACCTGTTTGTTATGTCTTTTAAAAACTTATATTAGGTAAGTGGAAGGGGTGGGTGAAGGGGGGGGGGGATACAATAAAGTAGATAACATGAATGCCAGAAATAAAACGGTTCAGTTGCAAAGCTGGATATTTTGGATATATGTTAATTAGAGCATAAGAAATTGCTGTTGCACCATATACATGTAATATACCTCTTCTAAGGATCAATTAAAATTATAATCTGATGAATTTATTTAACGACTGCAGGTAGTGCACGAAGGGCAGGTCATCGGGGTGGTTGTGGCAGAGAGTTTGGAGGCGGCCAAAGCTGCTGCCAAGAAGGTCAAGGTCACCTACGAGGTTCTGGCACCAATCATCACCATCAAGGTAATCTTCTCACCTGTGTGCCACTGTTACATTTTTCATAAGGCTTCTCCATAAATGTTTTAACCTAATTTCGACATCCCCGCCCCCATCATTATAGTTTGTGAGAAAAAATATCACTGCTCCCCACCTCCCTTCCCCACCCATCAATTAAAATGATGTCAAAGCCCCTATTTTCAATTATGTTTTAAAGCTATTTCTATTATATTATTTAAGCTTTCTCAAGAGTAGATACATTGATTAATTTGTATTACAATTTCCAAAAAAAAAAAAACCTTTCTTGCAAAGTGACACACTTGCTTAACCCCCTTTTTCCTTTCCCCATCGTCACACTTCGTTTCAAAGTTCGATCCCTTCCCCCCTACTAGTATTGTACTAATTTAGAAGGACCTTTCAGTGTGGGGATTGTGGTAGAGATGATAAATATGCTAAACTTGACTAAGTTTGTGGAAGATGACTACATGTGTGTTGTCAAATAGTTGCACACAAATCATTGCTGGTCCATTGTAGAGTTATAGTTGTGTAAAAAAAATTATCCCAACAAAATGTATAACTAATATGCTAAGCCAGCGTGGAACAATGCAGCCAGACAAACATTGAATACCAGTGGCGTAGCGACGGGGGGGGGGGGGCACATACTACCCGGGCGCCGACCCTAGGGGCGCCAAAAAAGCTCATTTTAGCTGCTATTTTGAATTATAAGTATAAAAAATATATGGGGTGGGGGACCAAATGGAAAGTTTGTCCCCGGGCGCCGGGAGGGGTCGCTACGCCTCTGTTGTATAGTTTTATTTGTGAACACATTCATTTGTGGTTGAAACACAAGGTACATAATTTAATATAAATACAGTTTCTAAAAACACATTCTTAGATTACACATATCGCTGCGTAATTACCTGTAAATAAGTATTATTTTCATTAAAAGTTATTTCCATTATTTTGGTGAACGGAAAAAAACGTATACTATTTAATTGACACATTTAAAAAACACTGGCTATTAAGGCTGACTTTAAAACTACACAAAAATTGTGAAACCGGCTAGGACAGGGGTCGGCAACCTGCGGCTCGCGAGCCGCATGCGGCTCTTTTGATATCAAGATGCGGCTCTCCAGCTCCTTGCACAAATACTAATAATCTTAATAAAAAAATAAAAAATTTAAAATAAAAAAATGTTTGTGGCTCTTTAAAACCAGGGAAATTTTGAAAATTTTAACTTTTGGCTCTTCCGCTTCAAAAGGTTGCCGACCCCTGGGCTAGGAGCCTCCTATACTCAACAATCCCACGGATAAAAATAGCAGTCTGCCGCAGGTGACTAGTGATCTAAAAACTACCGTACTAAAACAGTGCTATTGGTGAGGGAGGGGGAATGTGTCTTTTGTTATCCGACCAAGCACATATTTGCCGAGGTTTTGTAAAACATTGGGTTGTTGCCCTTTGCATTCTGAAACTCGATCAAAAACTACCTGTTGTCTTTCACTGGATGTTTCTTTGTTCGAACACACAGCAGAGGTCACCATACAACACTGTAACACAACACACAGCAGAGGTCACCATACAACACTGTAACACAACACACAGCAGAGGTCACCATACAACACTGTAACACAACACACAGCAGAGGTCACCATACAACACTGTAACACAACACACAGCAGAGGTCACCATACAACACAGTAACACACCACACAGTAGAGATCAGCACACAACACACAGCAGAGATCAGCACACAACACACAGCAGAGATCAACACACAATACTGTAACATAACACACAGCAGAGGTCACCATACAACACAGTAACACACCACACAGTAGAGATCAGCACACAACACACAGCAGAGATCAGCACACAACACACAGCAGAGATCAACACACAATACTGTAACATAACACACAGCAGAGGTCACCATACAACACAGTAACACACCACACAGTAGAGATCAGCACACAACACACAGCAGAGATCACCATACAACACTGTAACACACGCTATAACAACACATAGTTGTACACAGTTCTGCAACACAACACACGACTGTAAGACAACACAGTGCTGTAACACAACACTAGCTGTTTTCCTATAATATACCATCACATAAAAACAACCCAACTTTTAAACTAGTGAAAAAAAAATACAATGCATACATATTTTTATTTTTTATTCAATGAAATATAAAACATTAGAAATCAATTAAAAAAAAAACTCAATGCTGTACATGTCGCCATTTGGTAGTCCAGCTATACACAGATAAACACTTTTTTACATCGACAAAATTTTGATACTGCTTTGACCAACTATCACAACCATTTTATATCACAATTCGTACCTGAAATCTTCATACACACATACATATACACACATCATCACACACACTCACTATTTTGTCTTGTTCTCAATGCTTTTGTACTGCTTTTTCTATCCAGCACTTTTCATCTTTCATCGTGGGTGGTTAAACATTTGGGGGGGGGGGGGGGGTAATAGTCACTTGTAGTACAGCCATTAGGGAGCTTAATGTTTCACCAAACTGCTGTTAGCGGCATATCATTAGGGAGCTTAATCCTGAGCTTAACATCGCTAGCGTCTAACATGTGGTAGTTAAATGATCTAACTATCCTTGAATTACCCTTGCTACTGGTATATGAAAGTACTACCCTTGATTATAGTAGAATACAATACTACCCTCTAGATTTCAGATAGATCTACTTGTAAAGAGCATCAATCTTCCTCAATAGTCCACAGCAGCCACCTAACCACTCTGATACCAATACACAATACCACTCTCCATACTAGTGAACATCACCACTGTCTCCACTAATACACAAACACACTCGATGCCAGTACATAATACTACCATGTGTACTAGTACACAAAATCCTTGTTACTTTAACACAAAACTCATTCAATACCAGACCTATCAATGATGGTAACCCTAATCTTAGTGTCATGTGTAACCCTCTCCAACATCAACCTAACCATAACACACCTAACCAATAAGTTCTGATATAAATCTCTCATCCCCTACCCAAGTAGGAAACTTCACACAAACAACCAATGAAACCAGGCAGATATTGTGTAGATTAAAAAACTGATCTGGAACCATAGTTTTTCCTTTCTCACATCAATCAAAAATAGTTGTTAAACAGTGCTCACAAAATTAATTTTAACTTTATCATTAATAAAAAAAAATACTTGAACTGAGGTAGATTTTAAAATATTTCACACTTCTTCAACCACATATTTACAACTGCGGTTATTAGAGTTAAATTAATTAAATTTAAGGCTAGTTATATCATTAATAAAAAAAGTACTTGAACTGAGGTAGATTAATTAGACTTCTTCAACCACATTTTAAAACTGCAGTTATTTGAGTTGAAGTAATTAAATTTAAGTCTAAAAACTTGAACCGAGGTAGATTAAACAATATTTTACACTTCTTCAACACATTTTTAAAAATGCAGTTATTAGAGTTAAATTCATTAAATTTAAGCCTAATTAATAAAAAAAAAAGCTTGAACAGAGGTAGATTAAACAATATTTTACACTTCTTCAACCACATTTTTACCACTGCAGTCATAAGAGTTGAATGAAGCAAACTTCAGCTGACTTTAAAGCATTATAAAATTGTATACTAAAAGTCTGTATGTGCACTTAGCTTAAGTAATAAAAGTACTTTGTAAATCTTCAAAACAAAAAAAATAATACAATCCAGCTCTATAAAAATCTACACATTGAAACACTTTTGGTATCAACATTCGTTATTTATACTATGATAGTTATAGTTGTTTCACATAGAGAATCATCACAGTTATTCTTGTTATTTTTTTAAAGTCCCAATTACCACAATCCGTTACCGCAGGTTAATTACTACAGTACATTTTACCAACATCTTGTTGTATTTAGTCCTTATGATTAAGTATCTTGTATTTAGTCCTTATGGTGAAGCATCTTGTATTTAGTCCTAAAGGTGAAGCATCTTGTTGTCCTAAAGTCCTTATGGTGAAGCATCTTGTTGTACTTAGTCCTGTTAACATTGTCCTAAAGCCCTAATGGTGCAGCATCTTGTTGTACTTAGTCCTGTTAACATTGTCCTACCACTTAAGTCCTAAAGGTGAAGCATGTTGTTGTACTTAGTCCTGCTAACATTGTCCTAGTAAATTCCTAATGGTGCAGCATCTTGTTGTACTTAGTCCTGTTAACATTGTCCTAAAGTCCTAATGGTGCAACATCTTGTTGTACTTAGTCCTGTTAACATTGTCCTAAAGTCCTAATGGTGCAACATCTTGTTGTACTTAGTCCTGTTAACATTGTCCTACCACTTAAGTCCTAAAGGTGAAGCATGTTGTTCTACTTAGTCCTAAAGGTGAAGCATCTTGTTCTACTTAGTCCTGCTAACATTGTCCTAAAGTCCTAATGGTGAAGCATCTTGTTGCACTCAGAAATTGTCAGATTTAAAGCACACATATCTGGGTTTGGCGGTTGGCCCAACCACACACAGGCCAACCCACGCAGCAGACGCCTCTGGAATACAGCAGGCAGCCCAGTGTCTCTGACCCTGCGTGTTCGGGTCACGTGGTCATACCCCACGGCCCGGGATATGGCCAGCAGACACCAGCTCTCCAGCGTCCAGGGCTGGGAGAAAGAACTTTCCAGAAGACGCAAGGATTCGTCTTTGCCGTTGGCTTTAAGAAATTGTTTCAGTTTCTGGTCGTTAGGGAGACACTGAACGTCGTAGTCCGTGAGGAAATCGATGTCAATGAAATACCTGGCAATGTCCAGCCTTTTTGTCAGGAGAGCTACCGACAGGGGGGATAACTGCTGGATGTGTGGCGGGAGGGAGCGGATGTTGAAGGTGGAGACACAGACTAGGTGGGGCAGGCCCCCGTGGGACAGGAGCTCGTGGACGACATGGAGGAGCCCGACACTGGTGGCCTGGTGAAGCTCAAACCCGATGTGAACCCCGGAGCTGAGCAACAGATGGAGGCAGGGGCTGAAAGACATGACGGAATGGCAAACAGCGAACCATAACGCTGTTTTATTGTGGACGTTGATTTGGTTCAGGTTGGCGCCGGATTCGATGAGGAATTTCATGATCTCGACTAGATCGAATCTCGCGGCGTAGATGAGAGCGGTGTTGCCGTGGGAATCCACAGCGTTGACTTCCGCTCCGGCTTTGACTAGATCTTTACAGATGCCTAACGAGCTTTTGGAGACGGCTTGGATAAGGGCCGTCTCAAGCATATTGTTTCTGTGGTTGACGTCAGCGCCGTGACGTAGTAAGTAGTTGACGGTGGATGCGCGCTTATACTGCGCGGCACACAACAGCGCGGTGTCGCCAAACGAATTCTCCACGTCGATTTTCGCACCGTTGCTGAGCAGAAATTTAGCAATATGGGTGTGGCCGTGTCTTGACGCGCATATTATCGGCGCATCCCCGTCCCGACCTGGGAGTGACACTGACGCCCCCGCTTCTAGTAAGTACTTTGCGATTTTTAAGTAGCCTTTACAGCAGGCTAGAATCAGCGGGCTGTCGTTGCAGTTGTTCTTACAAGACACACACGCTCCGGCGTTGATAAGCCGCTGCACCATACCCTCGTTGGTACTGGTCACCGCAAACATCAAGGCCGTGTTGCCTTCTTTGTTTCTATAATCCACGTCACATCCGGCCTGTAGTAAATAATCCACTACGTTTCCTTTATCCGCGGTCACAGCCGCGATTAAAGGCGTGTGACCCTCATCGTCCTCTTGATCCACCAACTGACCTTCGTCCAGCAACTTTTTCACCTGGTCCAGTGACCCTAATTCAGCGTGGAGGATTAGTGGATTAACGATGTCCACCCCCACGTGCTCGTAATCCGCTTTGATCGTCTGGTGCTCGTCTGCTTTCACGAGGTCCGACTCCGCAGCCTGGAGCTGCGTCACGCCAATGAAGCCCTCCATCTGTGGACGTTAGTGACACCCTGACGTCACAAGGTCAGGCATACGCCAATGCTGAAACAAAGGAAAAACAATTATATTAACATTGCTTTAATAAGTTGTGAGTTACTCAATAATGTGGAAATGCCTGTAGGCCTACACTTTAAGAAAAAAAAAGATGTAAGAAAACAATTCTGGAATAATTTGCCATCTTATCAAGTAACTTGATGGATTATACTAGAATGAAGATACTTTTACTGTGTACATGCGTGTGTATAGACCTAATTCACCCCCCCCCCCCCCCGACCACACATACATCGCCCTATGGTGAGAATTTATTCGCTAGGTGGTGATCATTTATTCGAATCTTCTTTCTTCCTTTCATCGACTTTAAAACTGCTTATAATATGTATGCGTATCTTTTATTTCACCAGTATGTAATTCCTTAATAATCATTACAATATCAAACTTAACCTAACTTACTTCTAAGCCACTATTACAATTTATATAGGATATTTAGGGGTCATCCATAAATGACGTCACGCTTTTTGGGCGAGTTTTACCTCCCCCCTCCCCTCCGTCACAAAAGGCCAGACCCCCCCCCCACCTAAAAATGACGTTACCCTAAAATGACGTCACATCTCAGCCCACAACCCCCCCCCCCTCAAAATTGCAGTTGAATTTTTCTTAAAACATCGACATCTTTCCAAAATCTTGTCTGAACTCTGTCAACATAGAGTATTTTAATCAATTCCTATTACAATTTACTAAAACGGTTTTCTGAAATTAAGGCTAAAATACGTTTTTCTAAAATTGTTTTTTAATGCAAAAGTGTGACGTCACACTATTCTGAACTCCCCTCCCCCTCATCACACACCGTCATATAACTACGGACCCCCCTCCCTCCCCTTCGAATGTGACGTCATTTATGGAACCCCCTTATTACACTATTTGCATTAGTAGATGTAGCTAATACTGAATAGGCTAAACAAAAATTTCAATTTTAATTAGATGATTATTATAGATATTTTAGTCACTGTGCCTACGTCTACCTGTTTTGAGTATACAATAAATGTAAATAGGACATTTTAATATTATATTGTTTAGAAAATACATATTGAAAAAAAAATGTTTTCTTCGTTATTATATCGGTTGCTAGGACGAGATCAAAGAAAACCACCCGACCTTTGTACTACTTCCTTGCACGCGGAAGACAAAAAAATCAATGCTGCGTAATGCGTACCGTAGGCCTAACCTAGTTACACATTTTTGTTTTCGTTCTAACATCTGTCAGCAACTACCTACACCAGCCTTGCAGTGTGTAAGTAGGTCAGGTTGGTTGTTTTGGTGTGAGAAACATATCAGTACATCATCGTTATAGGCTACTTGTTTTTCGTGCACGCTGCGCAGTCACCATTTCAAGATAAGGAATCAGCTGATTCGCTGGGGTCATGTCTATTTATAGCTACTGATGGTCGCCCTCGAGTGTTTACACGGGCGGGGTAATCGTTTGCCATTTTTTAAATTAGGAAGGGGGAATTTTGCAAAAACTATTTATTTCAATTTTTCGATAAGCGAAAAGTAAACGAAGCAACCTAGAAGATTAGACATTGATTTTTGTGCATTAGTGTAAGCTGGTGAGAAATGGGTGGATGAACTACTTACACCGGATGGCAATCGAAACAAACCTAGCCAACATTATCCGAGAGCTCCGATTGGTTGAAATAATGAAAACATTGCCTCGAATCAGCCGATAGTGTGACGGTGGGGGAGTTCCTTGAGCACAAAGAATAATAGAATTAACTAGGTCATGGACTTAGATTTAAAGGTTTCCCTAGGATCGATATTCTGTATCATACAATGTGGTAGAGAATAATCGGCACACATAATACTATAATAATAATATAAGTAAGTGTTTGAGGTACATACACTTAAAGAGCATGCGGATAATTAAATATAATATTTTGTAATTTCGTTCAAAATATTTGCAAGAATAGTTTTTAGAATAGGCCTACTAACTTCAACTTGGACTAAAAGTATTCTATTTAGCCTATTAAATTTTTATTTTAACTTCAGCGAATAGAATTGATTAGACTTAACATCTACACATAGATCCACAGTGACCATTTTACAAATAATGTGAATGTAGTTGTAATTAACAGAAAGCGCCATATAGTAGTTTACAGTAAAAATTTATTAAGACATAGATTCAGATCTATAAATATAAAGTAAATAAGAGTAGGAAATCTATAGGATCAAAAATTAAACGAAAGAATTTCTAACAGTTTAATTTTTTAATTCTTACCTGATTCTAGAAATATTGCAATAGCCCAACTATTTGCATAGGCCTAATAAATTAAAATAAACGACGAATTCCTTAATTAATACTTTCTATCGCCGGCGTTACAATGAACTATGAAGGCACACATTGTTATTGTATCATGTGTAGTGTAATGTAACTGGGTCATCTAAGAATTGTTTGTTTGCGTGTACGGAATAGTGACTTCTTTGTGTTGTACCCCCCCAAGAAAATGCAGCACACTCAGGCATAGTCTGCTTGTTTCACTAGCTTTATACCACAACTGCAGCTCGTGACCCCCCACCCCCATGGCCACAACCCCTCAGACTGTCCACGCCGAAGCGACGTGATCGCACCCACTGTAGTATTCGTCAGCGGAGAAAGAACGGAAGAGAGGAAAAAAAAACTGTGTCATTGACCTCGTTTTTATTCCCGGCTAGTTCCACGCGCACACGGGGCGCGCACTACCTTAGCACGTGATCAGTGCTGTTTCTAGCATGAGTAAGATCAATTAACGGTCCTATGGTTGGCCGTGAAGGAATATGGGAAGCTGTACTATTAAATACGTAAATATTGGAGTTAAGGTTCGGAGTTCAATGCAATAAAAAGTCGATGCAGTTTTTAGAGATATTTGTAAAAATAAAATTAGTGACAATATTTAAATTAATCCGAAGTAAAAATGGAAATATGTTGGTTGAATCTATAATTTTACGCATCTTTTTTTTTAATCTGGGAGGGGGTGGGACATTAGACAGTGAAGCCACTTGAAGTAGGGGCGGGATTATATTGTAAAATTGACCCACAAAAAACAAAAACAAAGCCACGATAAGCAAAAGTAAGTGTCACATGTCACAGCCCCCACCCATCAATTACTGGATGTCACACTACAACTGACCCCCCCCCCCCTCTCCACCACTCACCATCGATGTTTTACAAGGCGTCACCTTACCCCTGACATCGCCTGTCCCAACTCCTTGTTTAAACTAGCATACGACCTGCCACCTCATTGTGTGACATTTTTAATTTAGTGGGGGGGGGGGGGGGGGGGGAGAGGTTATTGTGTGTGTTAGCATGTTGAGAGAGTTGTGGTGGATGTAGGGAGTTGATCAAATGGGGGGGGGGGGGGGGGTCGGTGGGGGGGGGGGGGTTACAGGAATAGGAAAGTGTTAGACGGATGGGATTATTAGACATTAAACACCTTAAGGGCGTATGAGTAAAACAACGATAGTACAGTTGCTGCTTTATAATACGGAAATTACGGCTGTGGGGGTGAGTATGACAGAAATTAGTAGACTAAATGGAAAAACGGGTGGGGGGTGTTTAGTGGGGTGTTAGGGTGAGGTGTTTAGTGAGGTGTTAGGGTGAGGTGTTCAGTGGGGCGTTAGTGGCAGGTGTTTAGTATGGTGCTAGTATGAGGTGTGTTGTACGGTGAGATATCCGTAGCCCACCTCCCCATCCCCGCCCCTCCAAATCATAACAGTGTGACAAAGGTAGATAAGGGATGAAGTAAAAAGTCGAGTCGTTTTTAGAGAGGTACGGGCAGAGGTGTTTAGTGGGGTGTTAGGGTGAGGTGTTTAGTGGGGTGTTAGGGTGAGGTGTTTAGTAGGGTGTTAGGGTAAGGTGTTTAGTGGGGTGAGGTGTTTAGTGGGGTGTTAGGGTAAGGTGTTTAGTGGGGTGAGGTGTTTAGTAGGGTGTTAGGGTAAGGAGTTTAGTGGAGTGTTAGGGTGAGGTGTTTAGTGGAGTGTTAGGGTGAGGTGTTTAGTGGGATGAGGTGTTTAGTGGAGTGTTAGGGTAAGGTGTTTAGTGGAGTGATAGGGTAAGGTGTTTAGTTGGGTGATAGGGTAAGGTGTTAAGAAGGGAATTGGGGAGAGGTGTTTAGAGGGGTGTTAGGGTGAGGTGTTTAGTGGGATGTTAGGGTAAGGTGTTTAGTATTTAGTATTCAGTTTGGTGTTAGGGTGAGTTGCTTAGTAGAGTGTTAGTGGCAGGTGTTTAGTATGGTGCTAGTGTGAGGTGCTTTGTAAGCTGAGATAACCGTAGCCTGGTATAACCACAATTTCCCTTCTATTTTAATCTGTGACATTCTAGTTAACAGCTGTGAATCGAGAGCTTGAAAGTTTTTATCAAGGTTTAAACAAATACGGGGTTTAAAACTCCCACCGTCAGCAAATACTTTGAAGCCGCTTCACTCCAGGCAAACATCGGACATTCCTGATAAGATGGTCGGTCATCTATCAACTTCATTATCTACCTGCCCCCTCCCTCGTGGTCACTTCGTGGTGGGGAGGTGCGGGACTGGGGCGCGCGCATTGCAGGTCAAGGGGGTCACGTGACCTGAGCTAAAGCTACTAAACCGCTAATTAGCAGAGAGAAAATAAAATCACAATTAAGTCGTAGGATATATTTTTGTATTTATTTAAATAGGTCATGTAGATTTCAACAGCTGTATTTAATTATATCCATTTCATTTTCTGTATTGAGAACAACCAGGGGTCTGTGGATTAAGGCCTGTAGGGGTCAGGCGGGATCGCTTGACCAAATCCATGGATTTATTGGTATAACCACATCCTATGATGGTGTTTGGACCTATGTTGGTGTTTGGTCCTATAATGGTGTATGTTCCTGGGATGGTGTTTGGTCCTAAAATGGTGTATGACCCCGTGGTGGTATTTTGTCTTATAATGGTGTATGACCCTGGGATGGTGTTTGGTCCTATAATGGTGTTTGACTCTGCGATGGTGTTTGGTTCTATAATGGTGTATGACCCTTGGCTGGTGTTTGGTCCTATAATGGTGTATGACCCTGGGGTGGTGTTTGGTCCTATAATGGTGTATGACCCTGGGGTGGTGTTTGGTCCTATAATGGTGTATGACCCTGGGATGGTGTTTGGTTCTATAATGGTGTATGACCCTTGGCTGGTGTTTGGTCCCACAAAACTTAACACCGCGTCTGTCCCGCCTCTAACAAAGGGAGAAGCCATGAATAAAATGGGGGCAAATGAAAACAGGTTATCTTATGAGTAGCCATCTGGTCAGCCGGATGGGCCTTGACCTTGTCGCCACATCGATGACCTCAAGAGCTATCCAGATTTAAAGGTCAAAGGGTAAAACAAGAGAAATGTTGAAATTGGATTCAGTATTGATCCAAAGTGTACACACATCATTTCTCTCTAAGCACCACGGAAATTGTCGATACATTGTTACAGCTTTGCTAAGAGATCCGGAACGAATCATGAGACATAGTGGCTATTCAAAGAAAACTAAGACATCGTTTCTTCATCAGTGATGTAATTTTCCTGGGCTATACGTATATTATACGTTATTAATTGCTTCTATGATTTCAATGGTTTTGATATTTTGTCCATATGGCCGTATCTAAATATTACGATTTATATAATGTACACAAGATACGAAACCCATTTTAAGTTTAAACAATCGACTTGCTGATCTGATTAGGCCTATCTCTTATTTTCTCTCGGCACTCCCAAATTGATGCTCCCCCACCCCCACATTGATGCTCCCCACCCCCACATTGATGCTCCCCACCCCCACATTGATGCTCCCCACCCCCACATTGATGCTCCCATCCCCACATTGATGTTCCCCCACCCAATATGGACTTAGTACACACGTCAAGAGGCACACATTCACATCTTACTCTCTACTCCATTTATCGAAGAGGATAAACTTCTTAAACAAAAAGTGTTGCTGTTCACCACATTTAAAAGGTGGTCTATTCATTCCACAAAAACTTCCCAGTTAAATTGTTTTTTAACCCCTTTATAACACTGGAGTTATACTCATTATATATATTATATATATATATATATATATATATATATATATATATATATATTTGGAAGAGAGAATGGGAGGGACGATGAGATATCGTACCGTCCCCAGTTAACGTTCTATACCTATTCACCTCAGCTTTGTTTTTAGTAGGTGTACTTTAACTCGTCTGAAGAACGAGGCAGTGAAGGGAAAATGGGGGGCGGGTAAGGGGGGGGGGAATGCCCCACGTGACCACCGGATGGTATACGTGTGCCTTATGTAGGTCGTTGACACTTGAACAGCTCATCTTTAGTGGGAGCTGATCTAGGTTCTTTTATTTTAGTGTATTAATTAGGTCACTTTACCTTCGGCTGGGGGTGGGGTTCCAGAGTTAGTGGTTTACTGATAATAAGGAATACTGGTGGAGGTGGTTGTATGCTTTTTATAATTGTTGTAGGCTTTATGTTAATTGTTATATGTTGTTTCTTAGTTGTTGCATGTTTTGTGTTGCTTGTGTTTATAGTATGTTGAGTGTTGTTTACATTATGCTAAGTGTTGTATGCCTTGTGCTGAATGTTGTATGCTTTGTTAAATTAGTTTCATACTTTGTACGATTTGTGATATTAGTTGCTATTTTATGTTATGTGTTGTATGCTTTGTATTACGTATTTTATGTTTTTGTGCTTACGACTTACACCTTTGTATAACTTGTAGGTCTATCGGTCTACGTTATGTAAATTGTTGTTAAGTCAGTTTTAATTTATATATATATATATATATATATATATATTATATATATATATATATATATATATATATATATATATATATTATATATATATATGTTTCATGTTAGTTTCTGTATGTTTAGTATTGGTCGCTGTTGATTCACTGTAATCATACTATTCTTCTTGTAAGTAGGTTTATTCGTGGACTTATTTTTGTATTAAGTATAATTTCACTTATACTATTCTTCTTGTAAGTAGTTTAATCGTGGACTTATTTTTGTATTAAGTATCATTTCACTTATACTATTCTTCTTGTAAGTAGGTTTATTCGTGGACTTATTTTTGTATTAAGTATCATTTCACTTACAACATTGAGACAAATTAATACTATATTATTAATTTTATAATATAGTATAAGAAAAAGCAACAACCGCAGTTTACTTGTAATCAGCTCAACAGGTTCCTGAAAGTCTATTAACCTGAAATTAATCATATTTTTAAAGTCTCCCAGTTCACGAGGCAACTGAGGACAGGGTAGACATGCAGTCTCGCCACGCTTCATTACCTTTAACTTGACCCAATTTACCCTCCAGCCTGCTCCCCACACCAACCCTGCCCCTCCCGTGTGTTCCGTGTTTTGAGTTCGTCTTTACCCTTTTACGGCTTGTATGGTTAAAATATTTAGAAATAGCTAACGATATTCAACGATCTTTATGAAAAAAAATATTTTAAAATCTTAGTTTTGTAAGATTCACATAATTTTATTTATAGACAATTTAATTTAT